GGATTGAAGGTGCTGAAAGAAGTCAAGAGTGGAAAGAAAACAAAGTGCAAAGACATGGAGAAAACAGAAGAAATAATGAGTATGTAATTTGGTTTGTTGTTGCTACTGATAACAGGAAATTTAGTTTTAAATGTTTTTTAAGGAGATTCAGAAACTTGGTTCTTCCACACATTTGTTTTTAAGATATGTGCTTGTAATTACCATCACCACCTCCTCAACATACTTCAGTCATATAATTTAAACTACACACACACACACACAATCTTACCCCATTCCCTGGGAGGAGAACCTGTTGCCACCAGCTGCTCTCCCTCTTCCACGACCCCCTACCCCTGAGGAGAAAAAAACAACATAACCAGATTACCTCTGATGACTGGTCCCAGTCAGCCTCAACTACTCAAACATTTTGGAAAAAGGCATCAAACTCATACACGCTGTCAGAAACGTATTTACTGAACAGTCATTGACCTGATCATACAATATCTCCAAACCTGCCTTTTCTCAAAAACTGCTTTCAACCCTCTCTTATCCAGTAATCTACTCATGACAACCGCACACCACACACACACTCAAGCAGCTGTAGGGACTATGCACATTCCACACATGTTGAGTGCGGCAATATTCTAAATGCCTGCAGACACAAATAGATGTTGCTAGCTCCATCATCAAAACATGAACAATGAAATCTCAGACACAAAACAATGTTGGAATTAACCCAAATATATAGAAAGTCTTGCAAAAACAATGTAGAGTAGTTAACCAAGCATGTAAGATATCTATAAGGCTGAGGTGTTCAATCTGTTTACTCCAGTCCTGCAATTATCATTAATGGGACAAGAATCCTTAGGATATTTTTTTTTTTTTACTGGTAATTAACTAAATGGCATGACTAATGTATTTAATAAGACTGAAAGACTCCTCATTTCATGTACCGCTCACCTCTGCCTCGTCCCCTGCGTCCAAGGTCGCCCCCTCTCTCTCCAGGAGCCACCTCAAACCCATTCTCCTCTATACGAGCTGGAAATAAAGAAATGTAATAATGTAAATACTGTTAACACTTAACTTTAAGAAAGACTTCGGAACTATTTTTAATTCATTTGGGAAATCAAAGATGAAGTAAACAGCATTGTAATTTGCTGATGGAAAAACATCTACAGAATACAGGTTTTCTGTCCATTTGATAGGGCTAATGCATCTTTTGACCCAATTACCTTCACGCCCTCGGCTAATTCCTCTGCCCCTCCTATTGGAACCTCCACGTCCACGACTGGCCTCCCTTTCTCCTCCTTTTCTCTCTCTGCTCTCCTTTATCTCGGAGGTTCCTCCTTCTTTCCCAAGACTCCGCTTCTTCCCCACAGTCTCCCAAGAGTTCTGACAGAAGTTAACAGCAAAATGTTGACCTTTACACCTATATCATATACATTTTCTGATATAATTTCATGGTCTTTTAGCCTGTGCAAAAACCCAGAGACTAGCGTTTGTGAATTTGTATATGAACTCTTACTGTGTCAGAGTTGTTCTCTAGCAGGAGATTGATGGCTTTGTTTGCATCTTCGTTGCTATCGTGGAGGGCAACTATGCACTCATCTTGAGTCTTCCCAGTTACCTCAATCAGCTGTAAGCAGTCAAAACAAGAAAGTGCAGGGTTTTAATAATGTCACATGGTCCAATAACTACAGGAAACTATGCAGATGATTCATAAGAGGGTTTGTCTAAATGTGCAAGTGCCAACAAATTACCTGTTTGACCTTGTCTTCAAAGTCAGTATCATTTTTGTCGTAGATCACTTGGGCTAAACGAATCTGTTCTGCTGTGGCCTGATAAACACAATCCAGGAAGAAACAATGCAAGAGGTTAATTTTGTGATGAAGGATGCTACAGGATGCCGTTGTCAAAATATTCTTTAAATCTAATGTCTAATAAGGCAATTTTGAAATTAGAAAAAGATATTTTTAACTGAGTAGTCATGAATGCAACTCGTACATACAGTGTGATGAAACGGTGAAAACCTACCTGTATCTGTTTTTGTGGTTGTGTTGTTTGTGTGGTGCTGGGCAGCGTTCTATCCCGAGTTCCCCGGGCTTGATTGCTGACCAGTGAAGTCATCATATACAGTATATACAAAACAATGTATGTACAAAATAGAAAAATCTGGGGGACAGAAGGGGCGAAAGTCAAATGACAGCCAGCTGGGAAATGGTTACATTGCATCACAATTCCTAGAACTACATAATATTGAATAAATATACACTGCCAGTACAGTATACTGAATATTAGCAGACCGAGGCTCACCATGTAAGACTATAACCCCATCTGTCGCCCCCACCTCCCAGGTTAAATTTAGCCATGCCAAGAGGGGACTGTCCGGGTGTCAATTTACAACCCTCCCTCAGTCTCCCGAATAAAAACACCAAGAGTACGCACCAGCCTCTGTTCTAGGTAGAATTTAAACTAAAACTATTCTTCATCGATGTCGACGGGAGACGCCATTTGGCATTTGACTGAAGTAATAAGTCAACACAAAAGGCCCCTGGGCTTTATGCCAGGTTACACAGTGTAGGGAGGAATCTAAAGCATACGCATACCACGGGTAATATTATATTACATAAACTAAACCGATGGTTTGCTAAGTATAATACAAACTGGCAGGTTGACAGCATGGGGACAACACATGAGGTTAACTGGCTGGGATCGTTGCTATTGTCCTACAACGATGTGTTAACCGACAGAAAAAAAACACAACAAGAGACGTCGATTGTAGCTATTGTTGGAAATGTTCTTTTCCCGGTTGTGTTATAACGTGGGCGGTGATTTTAATCTCTGTTTAGTTAACGTTACAAGAAGCTCGACGGAAACATGAGCCGTGTTGGCTAATGTTCACACCAGCGTTAGGTCATCTAGCTCACTTTAGCTTTAGCCTGGCTAACAGCTAGTCTTTGTTTCGTGTGCGATCCCACCCGATCAAAAGCTTCGGTCTACGAGGCAGATATTTGCAGTGTGGCCGCACAGTTGGTCAACTTGACCGCTCGTGTGACTGTTGTCAGCGCAGATCCACCGAGACACGAACAAAAACAACTAATGTGACGAGTGAGGACATGTACCCTTTTGTGTGAACCGAAACAGAAATGGCAGGTATAGCCGACGTCATTAGCATGCTAACACAACTACAACGAAAACTAAGAAATCACGCGTCGTGTTAGCATTTCGAGCGGCCGCTGTCGAATATTTAAGCGCTCTGACCGCAATGTGAGAACATGGGAGAGACAGGCTGTCGAAAAAAAAGCGTGGCCCGTCCACGCTACGACAGATTACCGCTGCATGCTAACTGACCCGGCATGTGAGCGAGCCGTCCGCGTACAATGCAGCGACACAGTCCGGATGCAGCAGTTAGCTAGCGAGTTAGTTAGTTAGCTTAGCACCGAACAGCTCGAACGGTGGCTGTGGAACGACACGTTTGTTTCCCTAAACATTTGTAAAAATCATACGATAGAACACATTGACCGTTCGATCGGCTTCAAATGACTATTACTGCGCGTTTTTCGTTCTTTTCTTTACCTGCTAACACGCTTCGCACAGCCAGCAGCAGCAGATGATGTCACGTGACCCACCGCGCCGTTGTTCAACGTTGAGGGTCCGACGCCGCCAATTAGCAGCCGCGAGACGGTCACGTGGTTCCGCGACGTGCCCCGACACGACGTCCGCGTTCACGCCCGGGAGCGCGCTTCACTGTTCCGTGTTTTCCAGCATTGCGCAAGCTCGATTTACTTTACTTTACTTTACTTTACTTTACTTAAGTTTTTACTTAAGTTTTTACTTTACTTAAGTTTTTACTTTACTTTAGTTCACTTTAGCTTAGTTTCGTTTTTAGTTTGTTTAAGTTTCTAGTGTAAGTTTTGTTTAGTGTTTAGTGTAGTTTAGTTTAGTTTGGACTACTTTAGGTTCATATCAGTATAATAAAAAATATATCTATAAACGACAAAACACAGCACAATAATACAGAAATATAGTTGACCCAATTTACAAATCCAAAGGGATCAGAACACATACATTTTTAAATAAATGAACCGAGGCACACATCCTTTCAAAAGATACAAATGTACCTTCATGATTCGGCACATTGTGTTTGATAATCAGAATGTTTTTTTTTTTACATATTTCCAAACAGACGTGCCTTTTTTGCCTTTTCTACAAACAGACATTGTTCCAGTGTCTCCAAAATCACGACGAGTACTTATTGTCGGCTCAGTCAAGACCATCGTGATTCAATTTTTGAGCCAGCAAATTGACACATGAATTTATACATATAATTTGAGCTTAAGCAAAATTTGAATGCTTCATTATGAAGGCTACCAGCTGAAGCTTTTTCAGTTTTGCATTGCTGCACCACTGGTGTGCTGTGTAAAGTGAAGTAAAGTAGACTTGTGCATACAGTTTATATCGTTGTCATCATCACACAAATTGTTGCTAATGACATAACCCCAAAATCATATTTTGTTGACTACATTTAAGACTGATCTGCCATAAAAAATGAAGGAAAAATGGACTGCTCCTCCCAGTTTTTAACAATCAGGATTGGCACCATGACTTAAAACATCACTGTAAGGTTATAAATATGTATCATAAAGGGTTAAGTGGTGATATTAGAATTTTCAGATGAATCTTGTGCAGATTTATTTCCTGACATCAGAGTGGATTTAAATGTTACAGATTATATTCTTTCTTTATCTTGAGCCAGTGTTTGTTTCTTTGATGGTGGTGTAATAGAACTGATGTCTTTTGGTATGTTTCTTCTATTATATTTGAATTCACTCTCTGCTATGCCCTCTATGGGGTTTACACATTTTCATATAAAAATGATGGCAATTTTACAAGGCAAATATAATCATCATCATAAAATTTTTCATAAAATAATCCTCAAATACTGTCAGAAATAAACAACACCGAGCACATTATCTAAGTCTTAAGCAATTTTAATTAAACCGTAAACCAGCTTCAAACACTCCATTGTAAACTGAAAATCCACCTACCTTCTATTTGCTAAGTATCACAATCTTTTATCTGAAGACAACAAATTTAGCACTTGAAAACAGCCACCTGTCAAGTAAACAGCTCAGCAGACAACCTGAGCTCAAGTTTGCAGGTAAGAAAAATGTTAGTTGTGTATCTTTGGTTCAGTGTGTCATTACTTCAGAGATCCAGTTGAGCTTAAACAGAAGAACAACCCCACCAGGCTGGGCTGGTGTTCGTTCAGGCAGAGGGTTGTGGTGGTGTGCAGCACAAATTAAGACACAAACCAGGGAAACTCAAAGCCTTGATCTAGTCCAATATCAAAGTGATGTCTCAAAATGACAAAGAAAAAACAAGATACAGACATGACCAAAGCTGTCAAAAATGATCAGGCTGATACAAGGAGAGACTCATAATATTGGACCAAGACTGGACTTGAGAAAGTACAGCCCTTTAGAAGTTGCAGCAAATACAGTACATAAATAGCTCCTGTCTAAGCAACATAATTTCCAAACATCAGTCATTCAAGTATCCACAGTAGTGCGACAGATATCCGTCATAAGACGAAAATAACAAATTATGATTTAAAGAAACAAATATGCATAGATTCAAATCAAATACTATATTTATATGAATCATCATGTAAAGAGCCCAGGAAGAGGAAAATAATAACCTCACATCCAAACAGTAAAAACAAACACACACACACACACACACATATGAAATCAAATAAAAAATAAAAACACTAATAATGTATTTAACTCATGCTGCATTTTAGTCTTGTCAGTGAAAATATAGTGCAGTTATAAACACCATGATAGTCCTGCACTACCTGCATCCCTTCAGTGTATGTACAGGCTTTACTTATAAATAGAAATATTCCTGCTTTTTACCTTTGTTAATTCAGAAAATCTAAATATTATTATCTTCTCATTGATTGTGTTTGGTTTGACTGACTGAGCATCAGATACGGCTGCAGCTGGGCTCTCATGCTATGCACACACAGAGCCTTTTTCTCCATTATCTCTTCCAGCTTGTGGACATATTCCCCGAATGCCTGTAAGACAAAGAGATGAAGAGTGAGGATATATAAAAATTTGTAGTTACTGTAAAATGTGCAGTTTACAAAAAAGCAGTTGAGGGTGTGATTTATTCAGACCATATCAGGTTGTTGGAACAGAAGTGTCCCCTCTCTGTGACATAAAGCCTCCATCTCTTCAAGCTGCTCCCAGTGGGCCTGGACAACACGGCACCTGAAGTTGGATTAGAGAGGAGATGCTTTGTTCAAATGAATCACCTCTTGGTTGTGATTAATGTGGCATGAAAAATACACAGCACATTCTCTACATCTGTCATCAAAGAGGTCTGAATCATATGGGGGATTAAGATGTGTGAACTAGATCATCAATATATTTTTTATAAATAAAAAAAAACTTGAGAATTCTGTTACTTACAGTGCATGATTCAAGTCTTTCAGGGAAGACGGATGGATTGTGGGCCTGCTTAGCTGATTGCTCGTACTTTCTTGACCTGGTTGGGTTGTGTTGTCGATGGAGTGATTTGAATTTACTATGTGACACTGGTCCAAGACACCGTCTGACTGTGGTTTTGAGGTGGAGGAGTCAGGTTTGCTGTGCATGTTGTGTGCATGTTCTGTTGGCATTTGTGTGGCAACATTTGGGTTTAGATTGTGCGAGCTGTGGAGCACATGCACATGAGGAGCTTGCATAGGAGAACATGAAGAGGGTTTGAGTGGGGATGAAGGGGCTTTGGTGCTAAGGACTGGCATGGTTTGGAGTTTCTGATTGTTCTCTCGGTCCTGGAGTCGGACTAGAGTAACTTCAGGCAGTGCAGGTTTTGTCCTACCTGGAAAAGACAAAAAAATACGTATTCATATAGACATTTTAAATGCTAGTTACCATACACACTTAGAGAGCTCACACTTACCTATTCCACGGGTGTCTTTTCTTCGATCCGTGTGATTGATCACGGTGTCAGAGGTGGTGGGGCAGTAGGTCTTTGCTTGTGGCAGCTCTAAAAAAGAAAGATGAATATCTACATCCTCAGCCTCAGCCTCAGCCTCTGCAAGCTTGTCACAGGTCTGCTGCTCTTTTTCCACTTTCCTTTGGGTATTTTTCCCCCTTTCATTCCCAAGCAGACAGAGTGAGGGGTAGATCTGTTCTCCTTGTAGGAACGAGGATGTCGCAGCCTGTTGGTCCACCTGAAGCATCGAGAGGCTGAGGGGGTCCATTGTGTAGCTGAGAGAATCTGTGTCAGTCTCATGCTGAGATAAAAACGCTATTTTGGCTTTGATGTGTGAATGGTTTTGAGTGTAAACTGGACTTTCAGACAGTTTTTTATCGGGTTCAGCTGCTTTATATCTACTCTGAGTGACGGAGGTAGAGAGCTGTTGTGTGGTTAACGGAGAATTTGAAAAAGAGGCATTTTGCAATGGTAGAGGTGGAATGTTGGAGATGCATCTGGTATGTTTTGATTCAAGAGAGCGATCACTTCGTTTGTTTGGGGTCGGGAGTGTGTGGATGTGTTCACAGGCTGGGGAGAGGGGTCGTTCTGCTGGAGCTCGCTGATGAGGGCTGCCACCTTCCCCATCAGTGCTCTGCTCAGCAGGGTCATTTGTGGGATGCAGTCCTTCCTCACCCCTTTGTCTTCTGTCATCAGAACGACAGCTATAAGACACTTGCGCCCCTGCATCAGTCGGCATCGCACCTGTGACCCTATCTTCTTGCTCTGTCTCCACTGTTGCCAACCAGGCCCACCTCCTGTCTCGCTCCTCTATCCCAGCTGGCCTCTTATCTTCTCTCTTTAACCTTGCTTCACATGTTTGCTCCACTGACCTTCTCTTATCACTTTCACCTTGTTCAGGTCTTCCCTCTGTTCCTCCCCATGATACCGTACAGTGAGCGCCAACACCACCAGATTCACCGCGGGCATGATTGTTATTGCAGCGAATCTCACCACTGGGAAAAGGCTTACGTCCTCTGTTAGCATCATCTCTAATCTGGACTCCAGCTCTGTACACATCTTCCACATCTTGATATGTGAGGGCAGAAGCTGACAGATGGGAATCCTGTGGAAGAGGAGAAGAGGATAATGGAGAGACAGATGAATGAAGAGAGGAAGAGAATGTCGATGGTGAGAGGAGATTGACAGACGATGAAGGAGATGAGGACGCAAACTGTTGCAGCTGCTGGTGATACATTCTCAGATGTCTCTGCCTCTCCTTATCCTTTTCATCAAACATGTGTAAATCTCTTCCCCTTAGCTTTTCTACTTCACTACGTGGGTCTCTACAGCGCTCCACCTGTCTCTGCTGTTGTAACCATCCTCCTTCCTCTACTCTCGCACCTTCCACAGAGCTCTGCTGGATCTCTTCTTCTCTTTTTCCAGATTCCCTTTGAGTTAAAGGGTTTTGCACCTCCGTCAAAAGACGGTGCTTATCTGTGGGCGGTACCAACACCGTCCCTGCCCTGACGTTATGGTCCCCTCCAGAGTGTCTGTTAATTCCTAAACACACTGCATTGCTTTCACTTGCTTCATGCCTATGCCTCGTATCACCCAGTCCCAGCCAGCCTCTAATTGGTGTCACATGTTCAAGTCCAATCCCTTCTCTGCCCATAGCACTTGTTTCCGCCCTCCATCTGCTGTTCTTGGGTGTGGAGCAGAGATTTGTGTCCCCTGTGGACGACCTGGTGTTTGGTGAAGTGGGAGCAAAAGCCTCTGGTTGTCTCCCTAACTTCTGCTTTTTAGGGGGACTTTTCCCTCGAGGGCCAACACTGCTACCACTGCTGCTGTTGGACAGGTTATGTTTAGGGGAGGGCATCGTCTTGCCCCTTCTTCCTCCTCTTAGTCCTCTTTGTCCCCTCAACTCCTTCACCCTATGAAAAATGAAGTAGATATAACATCTCAAGTAACCTTACTGTTCACTAGTCACTGTTCATCACCACTATAGCCCTGGAAACAACCATGGAGACATAAACATTGTATTTAAAACCACCATGTAATTAAAAAAGGATGAATAAGAACACACACACACACAACACTTACCGATCAGCGTATCTCAGTGTATTAAGTGTGTGTTTGGTCGCTAAGTGACCAGGTGAAATGTTGGCAATCATGCACGTCATTGAATCACCAACAAATGAGTCTTTCAAAACCTAGAATGAGAACAAAGTAGTAAGAGTATATTTATTTAGCACACGATCATTAATACTATAAAGAAATATAAAAAATAAATACCTGAGTAAGTTTGCTTTGTCTGAAAGGTGTGTGTGATTGCTCTTGATCAAGGGACCGGATACATTCTTTAAGCTGAGAAAAAAAGAAAAAATAGTCCCACAATACATTTGCAATATCTTCAGACATGAAATTTTCACACATAAAGAACATGTTTAAACTAACAGGAACATTTCCGAAACATTCAGGTGAGGTATGAGGCGCCTGGGTTTTCGTGCAGAAGGCAGGAAATAATATATAAATTCCGGAAATCAAAAGTTTTTGTTTACAGCATGTTGACACAAGCATAAGCTGTTCTCACCAAAAACACTCAAATCATGTTGTCTTTTGAAGTTCACATTTTCATAGGTGTCTGACATCAAACAGGAAGAGCACAAATATCTAATTTTAACTGTATTTCTTCCAGTTTTGTGTTTGAAATGTCATGAACACACCCTCTCGCTGGCTGTGAATTTAACTAATACAGCTGTTTGCATTCTCACATACAGCCCCACCTCAATCTTTCAGAAAAATGTCCAGAGCATTTCTGAATGTGGCTTATGTGAGATCTCTTGAGTATGTCAACATGTGTGTTTGTGTAGCTTACAACTAACAGACTCTGGTTGATCTCAGCTCCCTCCATACGACTCTGTTTGTCTGGGTCTTTGGTATCAGATGCCCTCTCACTTCCAGCCAGGTCCACAAACCACATCCTACAGGCAAACACACAGATTTTTGTGTTTATAGAGAAAAGGAAAGCAATTACAAAGAGGCTACATGATATTAAGCCCACAGTATGGTAGAACTCATGGGATATTGACACTAACCTGCCTCTTATCTGCTGGTTTGGACATCTGAGCTGAATTTGAAGCAAAGCGTGAGATCGAGAAGAAAGTGGATTTACTCCACTCATCCCCTGTGTGCGCTCCTCCGTACCCTGTGAAATCACCTTTTTAAGGAAAACAGGAGGAGGAAGAGGGGGGAGATTGAGATGTTTAAAGAAATTGCAATGGTCACTATATCAAACACATGATCAGCCAACCTGATGTGGTAGATTTACTCCACTGAATAGCACATAAGGTACTATTGAGTATTTAAAGTTATATAAAGAAATAAGACATTGCAAGCAATCTTTTGATCATGTTACAAAGTCAAAGTCAAAAATCTATTAGAATGCCATAAAGCCTAGAAGAACAAATATTTCCTGAGCCTCTGTCACAGCAAGCAAGAAAGTCAACCATGACATTTTACTTGTCTTTATTAATTGGTAGATCTCTGATTTTGGATTCAGACCATTTGCATTAAAATATTCTGATGGACCAGGTCTGGACAGTGCAGCTGGGATATAAGGACATTTTAAAGAAAGAGACAAACCTGCAGCAGGGAGCTGACTGAGTCCACCCTGATGTCACGCAACCCTGCAATGTGAACCACCTTCTGTCCATCCTCCCTGGCAAATAACCTAGAAACAGATGAACCGAGGGTGAAAGAAAAAAATACTTTTTTATATAAATATAAATATTAAGAAGAGAACATCCTGGTGCCCTTTAATGATGATGATGATGCTGCTAAAACTAAATGATCCTTAAGAGAAGACTTGAGGACACAAGAAATTATTAAAATCATATACATTTTGCAAAATTCAGTATTAAGTATATTGAAAATTGTGGCTATAACACAACTGCCTGCAAAATGTATTATTCATCAGTTTACACACAAACACAAACCTTTTCCTGTGGTCCAACAGGTCATACAGCTGACCACAGTAAATCTCAAAGAAACTGACATACACCAGCAGGGGAGAGAGCATGCGCGAGGTGGACAGGTGTGCAAAAATGTCCCTGACTGCAAGTGCGTATAACCCTGGTCCCCCGGCGGATGAGCCTAACATGGTGTGAGTCTTCCCTGCACCTGTCTGGCCATATGCAAAACAAGTGGCCTTGCCTCTGTGGACACACAAAGTAGAAATATATGTGGTTAGGAGGCACAGATTCTCAGAGACACAGAGAAAGAAAATCCAAAACTGGCTTCAGGACATTTGGATGGAAAGGAATGGAGGGTGACAACATATACACCTCAGTATGTATCACTACATTAGAGCTGACCTACCCATTGAGCATGTGCTGCACCAGAGGATATGCTGTTCTTTGATACACCTCCTCGTTGGAGCTCTCCTCTCCAAAAACCTGGTCGAAGTAGAACCTGTGCTACAGGGACAACAGAGCAAAGTAGCCTTCTAAAATCGGAATAATCCCCTCTTACAGTTCCAGTATTTCATGAAACTGAACGTCATATAAATATATGATCAAAACAATATTGATTTATCATTGTATCCTGTCTGCACATCTACCTGTAGTATGTATTGTGTGAGATCCACCGCTTCTTTGCTTTCATGAACAATAACACACTCTCCATCTGAGGTTGTCACGACGTCTGCTTCTCCTCTCCTGCTCTGTGCACGTGTCAGAGGTCTCTTCCTCACACACACGCTAATCCGCTGCTCCCCTTCATGTCTGGTACACACACACACCAATCACAATCAATATTTGGATGATCGTGTTTAAAATAAACAAAGCGCTGATGCAAACTTTGTGCAAATGTCCTAATGAGACACAATCACATACAGTATGTAAATCATGAAAACGTTGAACATGCACAGGAAACCTCTCCTCAAAACATGTGTTGTATTGCTATACTTCATATTATTTTCTGAATGTGTTTCATGATCAGGAAATGTATTTAACCTGTACATGTCTCCACTGAGACAGATTAATTTAAGAGCAAGCAGTGAGGACAGTATGAACCACTACCACTCACTTTTTGTTTGGAGCAGGAGGGGAACTCAGAGGTAGTCCGTAGTTGTAACCAGTGGTTCTCTTTGATTCATAAATGGGTGTTTTCTTAGCCATGGATCCTGAAGCTCCATTACTCTGTATTTCTGTGGGAAGTTTTTCCTTCTTCAAGATTCTTTTCCTCTCTTTGTGCCCAACTGGTTGGCTGTTAAACGTCTTCACTGGTTCAGGCCTGTGTTTTTGTTTTTGGAAGGAGCCACACTTTGGTGATGATCTGGTGGGAGAGTTCTGCACTGCAATTCCTCCTGTGCTGTCTCTTCTTGTGTGTTGATTTGATGGATGACAATGTGCATCTGTCCTGTGGTTGTCGTTCTCTTTGCAGCCACATTTCACAGCTCTCCCACTGTTGAGTTCAAGCTGCAGAGTTGTGGCTGACCCTCTGCACTGGACTGGTACGTCATTTCCCATATGACTTGTACAGACATGAACAGAACCTTTGGGATAAGAAAGTTTCTTCCGATGTTGATCAGTGGTTTCAGAACCAAAATTAAGCCGTCTGCGAACGGGACCTCCATATCCATCATAAGTAAAACTACTATCCACTACAGCAGAGCCTTCATCCCCACCATCAGCACCATAATCATCATAACCATCTTCATATTCAAGGCTCTCCAGGTCCAGAGTTTTGATCATTTGGACAAGGTGGAAGAGTCGAGTCCTCTCCTCCATAGTGCGAATTCCTAGGAGGGGATAGTCCTCCATGGTCAGTGCTGAAAGGTGGGCTGCAAGGCAAACCCCCATGGAGGTAAACCTGACAGCAGACAGAGGGGGAGAGTCAAAGGAGAGGAAGACATCACAAGTGTAATTTTGGATATTCTGTGGGTGAGTATTCTTACCTGGCATAGTGATGCTGCAGCCCAACTGCTCTCAGACACTCATTCAGGCAAAGTGTCATATCTTTCCCTTCCTTTTCTATCTGTTTTCCTTTTTCTTTACTCCACCTATCCCGGGAGTGGCACACATGTCGGTTTGGTCTCTCCATCGGTCGGTCACGAAAAGAAAAGCATGCAAAGACTGACTGTGCTACTTAATTGATTCTATGCAGCAGGCTAAAAATTAATAAAATAAAATAAAATAAAATCCGAAACAAACACACTACACGAGCTCCCTACAGCAGCCACACCACTTTTAACAAGACCATGTGTCCTTGCTGTTTCCCTCCCTCAGTGATTTCTGTCAGAGACTGATGGCCAATGGTGGGTCACTGTGTCATTACTACCACACTGCAGCATTGGGGGCACGGGACAGAGGTATGATGCTGAAATTTGACACGGTAAGGGTAGAGCCGGGGCAGCACAGTACAGTCATGTCACACATTTCTGTAACCTAGCAAATATGATAAATATAGCAGACACGGGCAGGCAACTGTTGCTTCACTGGCTTCTTCAGTAGATTGGCTGGCAGCTGGAATAGTCCTGACACATGAAACTTGAGTGAGATCCACTTTATATAATTTAATGTATATAAATATATTTTTTAATACAGATTATATGCTTTTTATTTATTTTGCCCCTTTCAATTACGTTACTTCTTTTATTTCGCTTGATAATAGTTTTAAACTGTGCTTATTTATTTTAGTTCGATAGTTAGTTAGACATTATTTCAGACACATAAGTCCATATCAGTATAAAATATCAAATAGATCACAAAATACAGCAGAATAATATAAAGTAAAATCTTCGCACTTCATAAGCACATTGGAATTCAAACACATACAGACTTTTGTTCCAGTGCTTCCAAAAACAAGATGAGTACCTGGTGTCACTCTGTCTCAGTTAAGGCATTTAAAATCATGTCTTTTGGGGAAAAATTCTGAATGCATCATTATTTGCAACCTGTGACTTTTTCAGTTCTGCATGACTGTAGCTGCACCACACGTGTGTGTAAAATGTACTGTCGGCTTTTAAAATTGCTGTCTTGAGTTGATTGTTTTCATTTTGCCCTTGTGTTGTTTATAATGTTGCTGTACATCACCTCGAATCCTCCTCTGTCTATGAAATGTGCTTTGTAAAAAATTGCCTGGTCTCCTGTCTTTACATGCATCCATTAGGTGAGAGTTTGTTTCATTACTATGCTCATGAAAAACAGTGTAAGGCTTTGAATTGTCCCACAGAGCAAGGGCATGTATTGTGTAATTCCCTCATACACTGTATGTGTCAATTCTGCAAACTGAATTACAAAAGGTTAAAATATGGCTGCAGCGCATAAAGTAAAGGGGAAGTATGTTGTTGAAACCTGCCCAATAGTGTTACTAGAGCAAATAACCCACAAAACTAAAGAAAGAAAGGAACAAGGAAACTGCCTGAATGTAAGTACAGCTATAGTTTGAACTGGCTAAAATGTTTGTAAAAGATTTTTAAAAAAGGAAAGCTTACCAGATTCACTCCAGACTTGTTTAAAAGCAACAACACAGGACAGTGTTTTTTATCTGAATGAGCAAAGTGAAGAAACAAGAAGCATTAATTTTTCACAGAGCTGTTAGCTTGAGTGGTATCACCGTTTCCGTACACGGTTGGTCTCCATGGCGACGGCAACGGTTCTGGAGTTGTGTTTTCCCACATGTGAAGTGATCACGTGAATAAACACAACTCCTGCTGCAGCTCATCTGACGTTTTAGATGTAAAGAGACGAACAGTCAGTTAACATCCAGTTCAGCAGGAAGACAGAGATAATCCCTCAGAGGGTTTAATGCCCACAGACACAAAGCCCCCTCACACTAACCCTATTAGACATTTGTCTCCTGCAGCACAGTGAGTTTAACAGCAGCTCCCCCGTGTGATCATATTACCGCTGATATGCATGAGGAGACTATGTGTACACTGATGATAACAAGAGCATATATAATTAACATTTTAGCATTAATTAGAATAGCACTCAGTAGAGCGTGTACCTTCCAACAGTCCCCTTGACATCAATCAAGCTCCACCAGATTTCACACACCCAGATATCAGTCCCTCAAACAGGCCTGAATTTTATATCCATGAATTATTCCCTGGAAAATGTCAACAAAAGTCCTATAAGTTCAATAAATCAATCATTTTTTTTGCATAGCCCACATTCACAAATCTCAATTTGTCTTATAGGGCTTAACAAGATCAGACCTGTATTCCATATTAGTATAAAAATGAAATAAATTATAAAATACAGCATAAAAATATAGACTATAATATCATATATTGTTTAATGCTGCCAACTATCTACTAGGCTTGTCTCCTTGTCTGATCAAGTCCAAATCTTTATTTTACATTATACACACTTCCGGTTTTGCTATTTACAAAATAAGAGTGACGGATATACCAGGAGCAGTTGCAACGAGTAGCTTTTACTCTGAAGGAGAGCGGTCTCTGTTTCCGTCTCTGGATGTCCTGGTTCTTCAGTGTCAGTTTGGGAAGAAGCAAAAGAGAAGAACCCCGCAGGATGGTTTCCTACAGAGGACAACACGGAGACACAAAGAGACGAGGTCTGTAGAAACAAATCAAGCCTGTGGTGGTGACTGAGCAAGAAGCTGAGCTAGTGCTAATGTTATGCTATGATGTAGCTTAGCATTTATCTCCTGAGTTATGTTAGAAGAACAACAGTGAGTTATTGTGACAGATGTAGTGAGACTTCATCCAACGTGATATTTTGATGGTGTTTTCATTCACCACTTCAATTCTCCATGAATTCAAATGACACCGTGTTTATTCTTATTGAATCCATGCAGTTATTACCGTTTAACTTTATTTGACACATGGAAATGTCTTCTTTGGTTTATAGTACCCTCTTTCACCCATGGTGGCAAATTACACCCTTCCCTACAGCAACAACTAAATGAAGGTGATAACTCTCATACAGAACAAATAGAACAACAACATGCTAAGAACATCCATGTCACACAACATACAATTCTCAGCTTTACCTCAAGGCATGCTGGGAGTCCTTGCCCTTCTCCCCCCAACATGCTACAGTATTATCAATGTGATTATTTTGTCAGAGCTAGTATCCACAATAAATACATTTTACCCATTTACATTCCATAATTAAACTATATATCATATACTTTACATTGATACTGCAAATACATGCAAACCTTGTGTATACTTGTCATTTTTTCAATTAAAGAAAATAGCATATGGTACGTTATGGAGGAGGAATGTTTTCATCGGTTCTGTATTTCACTGGGGACAACTTTAGATGTAACACAGCATTTGTTTTTCTTCAAACTGACAGAAACTATTGCTAATGAATAATCAAAGTTGTGTTTGTGCCGGAAATATGTGGGTGAAAAGTTTCAAACGCGTGCTTTTTAAAATTCTGTTGCAGCCTTCTACAACAAAAGCTCTGCATAACATCAGTAATCACTACAATCTGCCTATTCGGCAATTAATCATAAATGACATGTAAACTATAATGTTATTCATTAACAGGAAACCAGCTGTAAGAACTCACCACCATGTCCTCTAAGGAGGAGACTTCTTGGAATTCCTCGCCCCCCCCTTTGTCGGCATTGTCCTGCTCATCCTCCTCCTCCTCCTCCTCCTCATCATCATCATCATCACCTCCCTCCGCCTCTCACTTCATTGGAAAGAAAGAGGACATCGTCAAGGCTGGGCGGGTGACCAAGCTTGTGAATGGATGCAGAGATGTACTGGTCCTGTTCCACCAGGGGCAACTTCATGCTCTGGACATGCACTGCTACCGTAAGCTCTGAGTTTGTGTTGACATAACAATCCTCATACTTCCGCAAGTGTGACTTTTAAATTTTGATGCCTAATTAGTCTGTCTCATCTCATCTACATTCTACTTTATTTTAATGTATTTAACTTTCACTATTTACTATTATAATTTATTTTACATTGCACTTTGTAATTGTTATTGTTGTTTCACTGCTTGTATTTTTATACACGTCATTATCCTAATTTCCTTTCATTGTTTGTTCTTATTGATTGGTTTGGTATGCATTAGTCTCTCAATGTTAATGTTTAATTCCTTTTTAATATATTAATACATGCGCCTGTAAAGTACTTTGAATTGCATTTGATTTGTTTGAAAGTTTCTTTATAAATAAAGGTTGATTGATTGATGACTAATCACGATGACACTTGTTTTTCTAATGTCAGATTCAGGTGGTGCGTTGCAGCATGGAGACATTGAGGTGAGTTTCCTACTAATCTGAATATTGGAATGCTACTAAATATTATCTTTCACTATCACCATGTTTCTGTGCCACCATAAGGAGTTTAATGGGCGACTGTGCATTGTGTGTCCGTGGCACAAGTACAAGATCACACTGGCAGAAGGGGAAGGGCTGTACCAGGCTGTGGACGATCCTACAGTCAAACCCCTGAGAACATGTTGGCGATCCAAGGGTGTCAAACAGAGGATTCACAAGGTCACAGAAGTCAACGGGGATGTATACGTAACACTTGATGACTCCATCGAGGCCATTGAGTCAGACATCTACCAGACTGAGAGATACAGGACTGTCTTATTAAAGGCCAAGCCAAAACCTAAGCCCAAGAACTAGTCAGATACTGAAATTTGATTATACAACCAAAAATACCTGTTTTAATCTGGGAAGATTTGTTTCACTCTGAAACATCAAAAAAGCTTCAAGAAGAGGATGTGTTTTATTTTAATGTGGACACAGGGGTTCATTATCTTGCTTAAGAAAGGCAGACTGGAGGAGCCCAGGATCGAACCAATCACACTCTGGGTAGTGGTCGACCCACCTCTTGAGCTGCAGCCCTCCATACACTGCAGACAGTGATCAAATCTGTAATGTTTCATTTAGAAAAGTCTGGCATTCATGATTTAAATGGAATATTGGGATTACATTGATTCAATAATGTTGAAATCTGTTGTTTATTTTTGATATAAATTATTTGTTTATGTCACCGCAAGTTTTTCTTATATGGTTGATGTCCTGATCAGATTTTGTCATAAATCCCAATAATCGTTTTATATTAAAGTTCTCTGTTAGTACTTATCTTGATTAATGTCTTTCATATTAACTTGTGTGTTGTTGAGCATTGATGTGCTTGTTTGTAGCTGGTTAACATTATGATTTCCTGCTCTTCACTCTCACATGTCATTGTTAGTTGAATTCCTTTGGGTTTGTAGCTATTGACAGAACAAACAACTTGAAGACCCTGCTTTAGGAACTGGTTAATAATGATCAATATTTTAACAATTATTGTATTGAGGACAAATATATGTACATATATGTATATTACAGTTAAGCATTTTTATAATGTGTATTTAGAATTATATAGGTTGATTTAAAAAAAATAAAAAGTTTACTTATAAAGGCCCTGCACAACCACATAAATGTTTCAGTCACTGTGTCTACTTGTATGAGGCACAATACATGTTCATTTTATCATACTTGTATTACACGAGGAAACACTTGTGGATGTACAGTCGGTGCAGGCAGGGGCTCAGTTCTTTTCAAAATATGATACATACAGATTTTTGTGATGTTTTACGAAGCAGTTCTTGAGACAAGTGTTTACTGTATTTGTTTCAATATGTCAGGAGAACTAGGTTGATGGAGATAATGACACATTTATATTTAAATTGTCTTTATTTATTATCCCCCCTCCTCTTTTTTTATTTACACGATGTATAGTTGGTGATCCTGCTCCACACTCCATACCAGCTGGTGGCGGTAATGCGCAAATACGTTGTGTCACCCGCTACAAAACAAGAAGAAGCAGAAGAAGAAAATAGCGGAAGTATACTAGGTAGTTTCTACAGTTGTGGGAAATATTTTGCAGCTAAAGAGAGTTCACTAATGAAGTTGTGCTTTCATTGTCGGAATATCAAGGTTTAAACGTGTAAATCTTCAAATCAAAGATGGAGGCCAACACGAGATAAACCTCCAGAACAACGACGGTCTTCTGTTGTTTTTATTTCTCCCTCGGCTCCAGACTAACACCCTGTTGTGATGGCTTCAGGTAAAGTTGTGTGATTTGTGTTTCACATTTAAAAGTGCCCGTGAGCTTCTCGGCTAAGATGCACATGTGTCCGCAGAGGATGAAGTCAGTCTGCTGGTCATCGTCGTGGACGTGAATCCGATATGGTGGGGCCAGCAAGCTCAACGAGAGCCGCAGGTAAACCCGTTAGCTGTTAGCTTGTGTGCTAGTGTAAATCACAGACAAAGTGTATGTGTGTTGTGTTGTTAAAATGCTGAACAACACCGTCGGTCCTTGTCTCTGCGCAGTTCACCTTGTCCAAGTGTTTGGACGCAGTCATGGTGATGGGGAACTCACACATGGCCATGACCAGGACGAACAAGCTGGCTGTCATCGCGAGCCACTGTCAAGACAGGTAACTTATACAGTGGTGGAGAAGTAGTGGTACTTCAGCACAACCTGAAGGTACTTGTACTGTGTACTTGAGTATTTCCGTGTTAGATTTTATTATAGTCGAGTAGAGTACACACCTGCAGCAATGCCCTCACTTAACCACTTTTAAATTCTCTGGATTCAAATTACTATTTGGATCTGCACCAAATTGCACAAACTCATAAGTATCAGTTCACTAAATGTTTTTCATCAAGATCCATGATCCAAAATATTTAATGTGTCGCATCTCATTATATTATAGAAAGAGGAAAATGCAGGATCTGCTCCCTGACCAAGATTTAAAGGGTTCTTCTGTGACCCATACCGAATCCTTCCTCTAAGTTTAATGTTAATCCTTTTAATCATTTTTGCTTAATTATGGTAACAAACAAACAAACGCAGATGGGCAGAACTTGCAGAGTTTTGGTTTTTGTTTAATCTACCCTCTTCTCCCATTAATCATCTCACGGCCTCTCAGATTCGTCTTGTAAGGAACCTAAGTGTGGAACCCCGGGAGCATGCTACCTAACTCTATAAATTCTAAATGTAATGTTTTGCTCCTGTCGCTGCTCACACACTCAACTGCCTCATTTGCTTTATTTCAGTCACTTCCTGTATCCCAGTAAGCGCTGGAGAGGCGGAGACAGCTGTGGGGAAGATGCACCCTCCAGCGGGGATGGAAAATATGAACTGCTTTCAGTTGCCAACAACCTCATTGCTGAAGAGATCAGGAATGTTATGTCAAAAAGTAAGGTCGTAATCAAACTGTTGACAAACCAAAATATGTATTATAACTTAATGTTTTTGCTGCAAATATAATGTACTATTGGCTTTATTGAGAGCTGTTTACTGACTGTGAGCTGCTGCCGATACGTGAAAGCTCATGAGGCGCTTTGTGTGATTGCAGCTGATGTGCGGGGGAATTCAACAGACACTCTGTTGGCTGGATCTCTTGCCAAAGCTCTCTGCTGTATCCTTTCATTGAAACCTCTTCAGTTTCACACGGACTAAAGTTTCCATCTGTAGGGTGAAGGTTGTCTCAACATGGAAATAGATACTGTTGACTACAGCTTTACACGATAGCATTCATGTTTATGTTAGTAGGAATATTACAGTGATACAATGGTATCAATGGTTTATTTCTTTTCCAGTCAAGTTTATTATTTATTGTTGCTGAGAAGGTGCTGGTTGTATTTGAAATGTGCTCGTACTGTATGTGTTGGAGTTGTTTTTTTAAACTGCTGATTGTTTCTTGATTGAACATCACTTTGCTTGTCAAGTTGGAAATTACAGCTGGATTTCTTCTGTATGTTAAGTGACTTAAAGCTGTTTGCCAGCTTTTCCTTAAACCTTTTTAATATTCAGATATTCACAGGGTGTCCAAGGAGCTGGAAGGTAATCATTCTTTTTAAATATCATTTTAACAGTGCTCTTCGTTAGATATTTTTCACTTAACACTCTGAAATTTTTTTGTGTTTAGTTGGGCAGGATATCAAATCAAGAATACTGGTAAGCCTCAACTAGTTTAATGAAACATTAGTCTTTTATTCACCTGACTGACACAGCTTCTCTGCTCATTTTACTTTACAGGTGATAAAAGCAGCTGAGGACTGTGCCCTCCAGTACATGAACTTCATGAATGTGATTTTTGCTGCACAAAAGCAGGTAAAATGTAGATCTTGCCTCTTGTTACTTCATATGTTTACATGTTTCATTAATTCATAAGTGGCTTTGTTTTTGTATTCTCACACAGAACATCTTGATCGATGCTTGTGTACTGGACTCAGACTCAGGTCTCCTTCAGCAGGTACATTTTTACAGCAGGACCAGGGAATAGCAAAGTAAAAGATGCACCATTCCGACCTTTAAGTGATGATACCTGGAGTTCTCAGCTGATACTGAGGACAGATCTGACACCATGTCCTTCTGACCGTATTTATCTGTTCTAATCTGTACAAAGTACAGTCCTTTTTTTTTTTTTTTACCTTCAGCCGTTTATTTTTCAGGCTTGTGATATAACAGGAGGATTGTACCTCAGGATACCACAGAAAGTTGCCATGGCTCAGTATCTTTTAGTGAGTTCACAATTCTGTTTTTATACAAGTCTTAGATTACAGTTTGTCTTTTTTAAATGCGAAAACAAAACCTTTTTGTGTTGTTGACGGTGTTTTCTTAGTGGGTGTTCCTCCCTGACTCGGAGCAGCGTTCCCAGCTGGTCCTACCGCCACGTGCTCACGTGGACTACAGAGCTGCATGTTTCTGTCATCGAAATCTCATCGAAATTGGTTATGTGTGCTCAGTTTGTCTGTCAAGTAAGTTTAATCCAAGACAAACAAATGTGTGACCACAAACTTTATACTTCATCTAAAAGCTGAACTTAGCATTTGTTTTGTGGTGACGCTTTCTCTTGTCTTCTTTAAGTATTCTGCAACTTCAGCCCCATCTGTACAACCTGCGAGTAAGTTTTAATAATTAATAGCTTTAATACAAAACATTTCCTCTGGATAGAATTGGTCTACTCTGGGAATCATGCAATGTGATTTTATTTTTGTGTGCACTAATATGATTTAAAATCATTTTCTTGTAGGACTGCCTTTAAAATTCAACTTCCACAGATGATCAAGCCCAAAAAGAAGAAACTCAAGCAGCTGTCATGATTTTTGGGATTTCACTGATTCACTGATTTCTGTTTTGATATTCAAATTGTTCTGTTTGGGATAGATTAGTTACAAGCTTCAATGAGGCCCTAGAAATATCTTTGAGGCAGCACAGTCATATAGAACATGTTAACTTGACCCCCATTGACTGTTAGTACACAAACTTTGTTTACATGTTACTCTCGACATTATGAATATTTAAGACATACAACTTGCAATCACAAATATGAGTCAAAATCATTTGTTCTGCTTTATGTGATTATTTATAATGACAGCACTCAAATGGCCAAACTGTTTACTGAGTTAATGCTTTGGAAAAAAGTGACATTGGGCATTTTTGTGATGTGAATTATTTTTAAATAAAACAATTGTATTCTTACATCTTTGTCTCAGTTCTTTTTACCATTATCATGCAGTCAGTTTAAATAGCTGCTCATATTATTTGGCTCTTTTGAGATCAATTGTAATCTGTGGAGGTGGAAGTGAAGGTGAAGGTATATGGAAATAATTAATCTTACCAAGATTCTCTGATTTGTTCTTGGATAACATCAGGCGTGTCATATCTTTACTAAGAGTTGAAAATAAGCCTTCACTGAGGACAATAGGAGAACTTAAAATGTGTTTTCAGATATGTTTATTCAGGACTCTGATTCTCAGAAGCACAGAAACACTTTGAAATATCCCATTCTGAAAGTTGCCCTTGTGTAAAGCCAATAGTTTGAAGATATAATTAAGATGAAAACTGAAGCAGATGGAAATTTCTGTGGTATTTACAAATAACATTTGAAACCATCCAGTGGTAACGTAGGTGGTGGAAGAGTGTCACAAGTGTCACGGTGATCACCGATGGATTGGAACAATGTTGCATCTATAAAAAAAAGAAAACAAGAAAAAGCTTGTGACTGATGTGAAGCGCATGTCTTCGATCATGTGTGCTCAAACCCAGCTGTTCTACGAGACTCTTCATCTGTGCCTTTCCAAGAACATGACTGATAATGTTTGCAACACTCACCCCAGCAGACCTCGGCCAGACCATCGCTGTGGAGTCAGGCTCATCTGAACTTTATGGTCATCCCGGATGACTGAGACACGTAATGGTTTCTGTAGATGGAAATTACAATGCAGTTTACACTTTAGTTAAAAGTGAAGTGATAATTCTGACACACAAAAATGTCAAATTTCAGGAATTACATAAGTCAGTTTAGGAGAAATTCTGGTTTATGAATGTACATCATAGAAATCCAATAATAAATCAGTGGCTTCTGCAGCTTACCCCTTCACTGTGTTGTACCACAGCAGCAATATTCCGGAGGTTCTGAAAGTTCCCTGTGTTCACTGAACCAAACTCGATGACTTCATCACCAACTCTGAGCCCCTTTGGAAAGAAACAATTAGTTCAGTAACAGGAACAAATCAGTTACTTTTTAAGTCCTAACTTTTTAAACCTTTCATGGTTTATCTACAGACGAGTGCATGTCACATTACTCACAGCTCCACAGGCAGGTGAGCCTTGAGTTACAGCATCCACACGTGCGAACGGAGGAGGCAGCGTGACCTGCTGATCCATTGCCTCCCCCTGGGCCTCCACCTCGTCCTGTTCCCGCTTGGCTTTCTCTCGAGCATGCAGCTTGTGCAGGGCTTCTTCGATCTCTGCCATGATGGCCTTGTGATCATTCTGTAGGCCTGGAAGCAAAGGCATTACCTCTAATATGACAGCAGCTCAAAAAGAAATCATGTTATCAAGTTTATTTATAAATGGAGAAATTAAATAATACAGAGCTACAATAATCAAGGAATTCATCACGCAACAAAAGATAAAAAATAATCAGAGTCATCAATCAAGTAAAAATGATGAACCTGCCTCGTGTCAAGCTTCTAATGTGTTCACTAATGTACTTTTCTACATCTTTATTATTGCTGAAAATCTTTGGGTTTTGGTTGGTCAAAACAAAATAAGACAAGAAAAAGTCATGGGCAGCTGACATGTCTGTCTTTGTTTACAGTCCATGGTGATAATATGTGCGATGACAACTGAAGCCATGTTACCAGGTAACCACGCCTCCATCACCTCAATGATCGTCTCACTTTCATAGTATCGTTGTGTCATGATTGTGTTAGCATGTGGGTTGTGCTGCTTCATGTAAACCCAGTTGTCCCCTGCAGCCACAGAAAACACTGGAAACAACAAACAAGCAGCAGCTTACATGAGATGCTGTGTCTCGCTGTTCTGATCTGGTAAACATTGACATCTGCGCGGGGGAAACCCTCCTCGTCAATCAGGGGTCCTTCAACTCCGACACCCTGCTGTGAAAAGTGAAGAGAAGAACCACAACACAGGGTTTAGCTAACACAGCCTCGGCTAGCCTCGGGTTAGCTTTGTGCTACGTTGAGTCAGAGAAGCGGACTTACGTCTTCTAACACGTCATAATACGCTTTGATCTGCTCCTCAATTTCGTCTTTCTTCTTAATGAGGGTTTTCACGTCATCCATTGTTGTTTCAGAGTCTCCAGAAGTGTCTTCCACTGTCATCTTCATGGCTGCGCAACTTGTAGTGACGCAGCTTCCGTGACGAGAGCTACCTTCTTCTTCTTCTTCTTTTTAACAGCAGTGTTAATACTTTACTGCCCCCAGCTGGTCTATTCAGAAACAAAGAAAATGAAATCTAACATTTCTTTCCTTACGTGCACAATTTATTTAAATTGCAACATATTTTTGTTAAGCAAAAGAAAAACATCATAATCCTGACTGTTGTGTTAAAGTTATTATTTTACTTAGTTACTCTTATTTGTTGAATGTGTTTTCAGAGTATTCAGTACTTGTGCAGTGTCTGACTTCAGATATTGCTGCTTAAAGAGATATTCAAAGATATATTAAAAATACAACGATTAGTCGTTAATCATGTATCTAATATTTGGTTTTAAATTTAAAAAAAAGTTTCAAATACCTAGTATCTTTATTTACATGTACACCTCCACCTTCACTGAAAAACCCACAAACCAGGCTTCAAGCTTCTTCACCACACTTCACACACGTGTAAATTGGACCAGGATTGGCTTCAGAACTTGTCAGAACACATGCTCATCAATCATAAGCAATGAGCATTTAACAGTTCCCTTTACCAACTTTTTACTATTTGAATCATCTTTACAAATGAGTGAATCCCCAAAATCCCCCTCCCACACATAAAGTCATCATCTTTCAAGTCACCTTCATTTTATTATTGAATGTAATCTTCAATTATAACATACATTTCTTCAGACACCTTTCAACAGTTGTTAACAACACATAACCACCTGAACACCAATACATCTAGTGGGACGTGTTTCACATCTATTTGCATCACATTTTTTCATCTCTGCATCATATTGACAAGTTACACAGCTATGAAAAACATTGTTTAGTAAAATACACCTCCTGACTTGTAGTGGTCAACAACTATCATCTAGCATTTTCTTGTTTTCTTATTTTCAACTTCACAGCAGTTTTCTTTATATATAGGCACATGGTGAATATTAAATAAGAACCTTTAAGGTTTTAGGTGACATCCCTAAGTGCTGTACCCTGAGTGCTGGCTACAAACTGGAATGTGTTTTAATGGCCTTCATCATCAAACAGTAATCAAATATAAATCATTTTTTAACAAAGTCATTTGAAAACTTGTGTGTGCCCTGTAATACATATTGCAAAAAGTTTCCTTCAAAAAGTTTTCCTTCCTCTGTCTTAGAAATCCCAGCTCTCTACAGTCGAAACCTGTGCGAACAGGGCATCGTAACGTGAATGTTTGTTTCATTTCCTACAGAATAGGTGAGTGCTGATGATTAAAAAAAGAGTCAAGTGTCAGGTTAGGTGTTTTTGTTATTATTGCTAACAGTCGGTATCTTTTGGACCTGCATGTTGATCAGCAAGCACCAGCACCGACTGGTCTTTGTCATCCCCCTGAGGCAGCGCATCATGAGATGTGGATGAGACACCGTTAGAGACCGCAGCCTGAGCCGTTATCTCCTTCTGTACCAGAGCAAACTGTGCTGTTGCCTCATCCAGTTGTGAATGAACTGCTTGAACCCACTTCTGAAGCTGCACATTGAGAGAATCCATCCCCTGGTCCAGCTTCTCCTGTCTGCCTTGTAGCTCCTCCAGGAGGTGTTTTGTGTCACTGGTAGTCTGCTGCCTCTTGATTCCTCCAGAAGGAGCACGCTGATTCAGCATGTAGCTCTCAAACTCCTCTGGACTGAGGTTTAGTGCTGGTCCATCCAGCTTCTCAATGAAGGCCACAGCACAAGACTGAAACAAAGACAGTGTGATCAACCAACTAGATCCACATCCACATTAATGCATTTTTGTTTTAAATACCTCACTGTTGAAAATTTTTACAGAAACACTGTTGGCACCATTTTGGTTTGAAAATTCTAGTCTGGAAATGATGACTCAGTCAACTACATTCAATTCCATTCATTCACACTTGACTCATCTCTCTCATCTGATAATTATCAAACATGTTTGATAATTATCAGGGAGGTACCGATAATTATCAAACATTCTGTGTGACGGTTAAATCAGCCAGAAATTCCAGTAGCCTGAGCCAAGCTAAGGCAACTACTGCAAGGTACACAATCTGTAGGTGAATGGTCATGTGATAAACGTTATCAGATATGATAGTATGGACAGAGATTACATCTCAAGTTTAAACACTTGTCTGAACTGAGATGATTTCAGTTTTATGGATTGTAGCCCATGATTCACAGAATTCTGTGGTGTATGATGGGTGAGTTTGCCGTCTACTTACCAGATTTGTGAAATAGTAGCCGCTCTCTCCTGCCATCAGACTGTGAGGGAGACCAAACCGAATCACGTATTGCATGTTGGAGTGTAGCCGGGGTGGGTTGGCCTTCAACACCACATAGATCAGGCCTGACAGGAAGTCGTCTGCATTAGCGGGTTCACTGCTCGAGTTAGAGAGCGCCTCGAAGACATGCTGACTGCATTTGGACACACAGGCAAGTTTGTCCTGTGGCGCTCGTTTGGCATCCATTTCAATTATGGCTGTTGAAAAAAATTTTTTTTTAAAGCATATTGGACAATTTAAAATGTTTCCAGCATATGTGAAACTTTCTCTCAAAGCTAACCATAAAGACATGGGTGTGGGCTAACAGCTTAGCTGTGTCAAACCAGCCTACCAGCTCCTCTAAAGCTCACTACATACTAACAATGGCAATGCACCATTTTACAGTGAGTTACTCAGACTTTATTATTTAATAAACAGACATAAAAGTAGCACCAATCTTCTCATCTAACTCTCCAACAGAAAACAAATATGAACTTAAACTATTTCCTCCAGCACTGACACTGTGAATCACCTGTTATAGCAGGCAGAAAGGGGTCACTTGTGACCACAGTCTTTTTATCAGGAAATGGAACACTCAGCATCTGTGGCGTAACCCAGTTCAAGGAGCTGCAGAGCAAAGATATTAGGTGACAAACAGTCATCACATGTTATATTTTTTGCTACAACAGAACTGACTTGTATATAAGAGTTACCGTATTCTCCTCTGGAGAGCCAGGTCCTTCTGTTCATCGTCACAGCTGTCATGACAGAAAACCCATTTGTGCAACCGTGTCATTATTAGCTTCTCTACGTGCTCCATTATCTGAGTGACCTGAGCCTCAGGAAGACCTGAAAGCATAAATAACAAGGAGTTTCCTTTTCAAATTCTTTTCAGAATTAACTGCCCAAAAATAGTGTGAACATGAACTGTACTGACTGCCAAAATATTCAGCAAATGACTGGTAGAAATCCTGCACGAGGTCCGACTGTTTCTGAACCGGCAGATCCTGTGGAGACGATGACAAGCTGTGATCAAAAAAAGCTCTGACATTTCAAAGAGAAGAAGTGTAATGTTAATCTTTTAAACAGATAATTACATGGTAAGCCTCCACTGTGTTGAGAAAAGCTGTGCATCGGGACTGCAAGCGCTGGGAGGAAGGGCTCCGTAGTATTTTTAGGAAGCCTGTGAAGTCCCCAGGCTCGAGGCTCTGGTACGCTTTTAACGCATTTGTTTGGCTTTCAGAAGACTCTGGAGGGAGGAAAAGTGGATGTGACTCCAGATAAATAAATGAATTAACATGTTTTAAAACTGAAATATGGTCCTCAGAATGGAGAGGGGAGATATCAACACAGTTATCTTGGTTCAATTGTTCTCAGCATTACCTACAGGTTGGTTTTGCTTTGGGAACATACAGTAATGAAGATGTTACACTAACTACATATACAGTGTGCACACGGAGCCTCTCTGTACATTAGATAATGAAGGGAGACAACAGCTTTCCCTGATGTTTTCTCACATTAAATTTCCAGAGTCATGAGTACCTTGGCGTTTTGGAGGCGATGGGCTTCCCCAGAAGAGTCTCCTCATCGTGTTAATCCGATGACCTTTCTCGATGCTTTTCTTCTCCTCAAATTTGGAGAAGGTGAGAGGAGTGCCGTCATTTCTTGGCCTACAAGGAATAAATGAAGACAGTTGCATTATCAAAGAATGACAGATGAATCTGTTCATATACATAAGCAATGTTTTTATAGTATCCATTACACATCCAGTTATATAAGTAATAACTCAAATTACAGCATTATAAAGTGAATTTTGATTTTCTGGTTGATATATTTAATTGGTATTTTTACCCAGTCATGTGTTGCTTTTTAACATGCTGTGACAAGACGTATGTCTTTGCACTGACACCATTATGTCGAGGTCTGTGGTTGTTTTACCTCGTGTCTTGTCTCTGGGCTCCAGCTGGACGGGCTCTCTCCCTCCAGCACTTGGAGCAGAGGCCTTGCCATGCAGGGTTTCCATAATACCCACAGGCATTCTTACAGAGCAGCTCCTCCTTAGAAACTCTGATTCCTCTTTGCTTGTCAGTCCACATTGTAGAGCACTTAATTATACTACTCCCACCTGTTGGATATTAGTAATTCAACAAAAAGGTTTTTGCATATATTTCACATAGATATACATACCATATACTTAGGTCTAATATAATTGCTTTGAAGAATTGGAATTTAAAAGTGTCATGTGTTTGTGACTACAGGGCCTGAAATCTCAAAAGCTCAGTGTTCAGGGCCTGGATTTGCTATATTTGGCACATAACGTCATGTTTACATAGGAGAAGGACACTCAATGATGCAATACAGCTTTGAAAACCAACAACACTCACTTTCAATGCTCCCTAACCTCATGATTTCTATATTTTCATTGTATACCCTGTTCAATGACAGTAAAGGCATTCTTCTTCCTTTTCTTCTGATTGTTATATATATGCCTTGTCTGATTGATTCTCATTTGATATTTCTCTTCTTCAGTTGTCAGATAAAGTTTTTAATTCTTTTATTTGTTTTTTTGTTTATCTGTCCATCTTCTGGGTCACTACTCTTATTGCGCACCACTAGAGACACATGGGATACTTTTCTTCTCCTTATCCAAACCCCACATTCAGTTGTCAGTTTATTAGGTACACTTGGCTTAAACTAATGTATTCTAATACAACACTTTGACATTTAAACTGAACATTATGAGGGAGGATTCATTGTATTCATAGACTTTATTAGTTTAAGCTCAGTGTACCTAATAATGCAGCAACTGTATTATATGAAAAACACCTCATTGTTATCAGGTGCCATGTCAACATTAACAAAAGTAGGTCACAAAAAACCTGTTTAGCTACGTTTCCATTCAGGGGGAAACTCATTTTTGTTAAGCTAGTTTAATTTGACTTCCTGTCCAGCTGCTACAGTCACTGGATGGAACAGCATAATAAAGGAGCATTTCCTGTTAGACCTCATGACCTGTCTGATTCACTCTGAACCTTCAGCAAAATGTGGAACCTCTTCCTCGAATATATGAATGTGAACATATCTGCCTAACTATGTAGAGCTTTTATATGAAGCATGGGGGTTGATAACCAGGATGGCTGCCGTCGTGATACTGGAATGATTTAACAGATTTAGTTTTTCTTTCTCTCTCTCTTCCTTTTACATAGTGGGTTAAATGTCAAAGCTGAAGACTGATCGTGATTATGATAATATTGTGATTTACAAAAAGACACACTTTACTGAAAAGGGAGCAGAAAGTATGTTTTTATTGTGGAAAAGTTTAAATTGTTCAGTTTGTGATATTGACAGATTCTGCTACAGCTAGTTAATAATAACGAAAAACATCTGCCCAATGGAATTATCATCTGTATATCAATACTTTTTTGTCAATATTACCCAATACATTTATTCAAAAAAGCTAATTTTCACTCAGATGTGAAGGGATAAAATATTGATTCAAATATTTCAGACATTGCTAATTACTGTTTAAAAGGGAAACTTCACAATCCTTCACTCAATCTTTCATGTAGCTGCTCAAAAGCTTTTAACGTCCATCAGGAACGTTTTGCTGGAACGTTTCTGTTCAGCTTCATATCAAATGAAAACGCTTTGATTATTTAAGAGTGAGGTTTCCTCGGGTGGTGTCGGAGGCTGTTCGGAGCCCAGCTGACTGTCAGCTGAGGGGATTGGAGATAAGAACCAGCCGCTCGTGTTAGCTAGCGGCTAAAGCTAACAACCTGTTACACAGCAACACATTGACGAAGACGCGATCACGTCCATTAAAAAGCGGCTCACCCGTCAGCTGGAGAAACCATCGTCAGCCTCTTCCTCGTCTAAAACACGTTTCTCCCGTTTTGTGGCGTCGTCACCGTCACAAAAATCACCGTCATGTTCGGAGCAACGCAGATAATCCTTCAAACCCCCCGAGGACCAGACGTGAGGGACAACAGCCACACACAGAGGACGAGGGAACTCTGGACACAAAGTTAGAGCGGCTTCAGACGCAGAGGCAGAGACGTCACGGACCTCTGACTCCGACAGGAACACAGTGACAGTGACGGAGACAGCTTCAGCTTCAGGTCGTCACAGATGTTTCCACACGGCGACGGCTTTTCAAAATAAAAGGATCGCGGCACGATGAACTGACTCCGGGCTTCAAGCGCGTGAACATGAGGCGCCCAGCGACATTTAAACGATGATACATGACCTCTTCTTCTCACAGAACACCTCACAGCCTGCGAGGGCCCCACATTCTGCTCATTCCAAACTTTTATTAGACTTTTATTTTGAATGTAGTCTGACTTTACCCTATACACATTGCGCCCTGGTGGCCACCTTCTGTAACCACACCCTTGTCTCTTACGGTAAAATGATAGTCATTTATTATTATTATCATACATATATACATTTGTTATCATATTACCTATTATTATCTATTTCATTTGCATTTTTGATAAGTATCTGTATCAGTGATATTGAACACTATTATAATGTATATATATAACTTTTCAATATGCCCTTTAAGCAGGCCATTTAACAGCTCACATACCGAACAGATGTTCTTGAAGTTCACAGAGAATATGTTTTATGTTATAAATGTTGTATATGTATATATCTACATACTGTTGTTTGTCTGCTGACATCTTTTGTATGCATGTCATCTTCTGTTACAACAACCTGAGCCTCCAGGCCACTGCCTGAAGTCACTGACAAAATTATATTTGTTATTCCCCCTCATGTATTTCAAATACGTGTAGTATATTATACTGAAGATTGTTTTGTTTTTATTTAGGCAATCTTCACAAAATATTAAATATAAATAAATATTCACAAAACCCTTGAAACTTACTGATCGCTACCGTAATATTTGTTAGAAGGGATTTGAAACCTCGTGGTAACTTTTAGGAACTGCAGACTCGTCAAGTGTCGCTAATGCTGCTCTAACAGGATGGTAAGGCTTCCGGTAAATACTTTGAAAATACAGTGACCAAACTGTCGTCATAAATAAATAGAAATAATTGTTATTTCTGTCATATAAATTCTTCGGTTGAATAAATATAGATGAAAACCAATACTCGGTACAGTTAGGTAAAGGTAGGTCGTGTTGAAAGCACATTTTTTTCTACGTGATAAACATATACTGTCAGTGTCGAGACACAAACGCGTGTATTTACTTGAGTTAAAACTTTTAAATTAGGAAACGGACAAGTCAAAACTTTCAAGACGGACAGGTTTAGTTTGACTTGTTCGTGCTTTTAATTTGAAAGGAATCACCGGAAAAAGTGCGTTCTGGCCTCGTTCGTTGTCCGTTGTGTTGTAACTAGGCAACGAGACGCTTCACGGTCACGCTACAGATTGTGTGTTTAAGACCAAACAGCAAAAGTAAGGATCTTCTTTTCATTTCAGTTTGTGATGGAAATCTGAAAACACAAGAGACTTGATTTGTCTTTGTGTATTTTATTAGGAGCTTTCTGCAGAAAGGATCAACACAGAGAGTCACAGGATTCTCAGAGTGCTGATGGAGAACAGTCAAATGCAAGCATCTGTAGGCACAGGTGGAGACAGGACTTAAGACACAGGTAACTTATTTGTATACATTTCCCTTGAAGATAGAAATTTGAAGATCCTTTGAGTATAATCCCTTTGATAGTGACAAAGCAATAGAAAGTTCATTAAATGTATTAGGAAAGTCAAAAAGGTATTAGAAAGGTCATAAAGATTTCAGGTCACAACAGTTCAGGTCACAAAGGTCTTACACAGGGATATAAATGTTTCTTTTCAACTATAAAATATTTTCCCACCACACTTTATTTTTGCCACTAGAAGCTTTAGTCGTTTGAAATAGGCAAAGTATACCTGCGTCGTTATTGTACAGAGCTGATTTCACATAACATCGTGACATTTGATAAATAGTGTAGTTTAACTGCTCTTTGCCAAACATTAGCTTTAGCAGTAATCTAGCGACCTCAACTCAAAAGAACAAGCGGAAAGAAATTGAAGTTGTGAAGTGTGTGGTCAGACATCATGTCAGAGGCTGAAGCTGAGCAGCTCGGCACAAGCTGCGAAGAGAAGAAGCAACAATCACAGGATGGTGATGATGAAGAAGAGAAGAGGGAGAGGAGGAGCAGTGATGAAGCTGAGGAGAGCAGTGATGAAGCATGGGGCAGGGGAAATGAGATTGCGATGACCCGGCAGTCTCAAGTCTACACTGCAACCCCTGACACACTTTTCTCAGAGACTCACACCAGAACACATGCACTGGTCAGTATGATTTTACTCAGTTATTTATCCTTCCTTTCAGGTTCATTTGAGACACAATACCTCTTCTGCACAGAGCCCTGGTCAAAATGGGAAACAATGTAATAAAAAAGGTTTCATATTAGGTCAGATATACACAACAAATATACAAAAACACAGCAAACAGATTTAAAGCACAAAGCAGTCACAGAAACGTAACATTAACTAAGGTCCTCCTGGGACTTAAGACTGAATTTCAAGAAAAATGTCCACCTCAAAAAAAGGTTTCATGAAAGATAAAAATGATAAAGTCTTATTTTCTATCCGTCCAGTCATTGGAATGGGTAATTGGGAAGAATCCTGCACTTCCCGTCTACAGTCTGCAAGACCACGATCAGCTACTGATCCTCTATGCTGGAGCAAACATCGGGATCATCTTCAACCACACGTCAAAGTCCCAGCACATGCTTCAGGTACAAAAAATCACCAGCAGAGGCAATCCCTTTACAGTCAGCACCACGAGAAATCTTAGAAGATATAGATATATTTTCTGATAATTGATGCAGGTTGTTAATAACAGTTTATAAACCTTCTGTAATAATGTTCTCAGGGTCATTGCAACCCCATCTCATGCATGTGTGTGAGTGAAGACAAACGCTGGGTCGCAACTGCAGACCAGGGGCCGAAAAGCCTGGTGATGATATGGGACTCCTATTCTGGGTAGCTCTTTATCATTTCTGCATTAAGGACATTCTGTGTATTTTACCTTTGCTCTTGATGGTAACCACGTGTATGACAATTATTTCAGAATTCCTGTGCATACCTTGTTCGACTGCCACCCTGATAGTGGTGTCATTGCAATGGCGTTTTCAAAGGATGCAAAACATCTGGTTACCCTCGGAGCTGAAGATGTTCAAGTGAGTATGACGGCAGGTTTTAATGAACAATCAAACTTTAAAAAGAAAATCCTTCTTGTTCTTTGTTGATGACCAGGAATTTAAGGAGTTCTTCACCAAATTGTTGTTGCTGTGTAATGTAACTAACATATTCTGCCATTTTGGGGTGCCCCCTCTCAGCCTGGGGCCCCAGGTGATTTCCTGCTGTGCTCATCCTGTTGCAACACCCCTGTTGATGACATAATAGAACCAAACACTCAAAAGTCTCTCTTTGATATTTCTTCTGTCAAATCATCATCAAGAGCGTTGCATCACCAAACACTATGTGGTGACATCACAGTATAGAATAATAATCTATATATTTTAATTCATAAATGTTATGTCATGACTTTATTATGTATTCTTAAGGTTTGAGTAGCATTTATTGTCAAAAATGAAAAGAATAGAAAGTATTTCATCTATTATTAAATGGTCGACAACTCAGAACTGCACTCTGCACAAGAACATCTTAGATTATTCGTTTCTTGTTGGATTTGACAGTATGAAACAATAAATGTCCTTGAATAAAATCTAAATCTGTTAATAAACTGTTCACTCTCTGACGATCTTTTTCACAGCGTCTGTGTATTTGGGATTGGACGAATGAAATGGAAAAGCCTTTATGCTTTACTGAAATCAAACCTGAGCATGGTTTTCAAGTGAGTCGTTTTGTCTTCTGCTAACATTAATTGCCACATAAATTAATGGATAAGCCATTCTGAAGATTAAATGTTTAAATATTGGATGGTTTTTCAGGAGCATGTCATTTTTAACCCAAACAACAGCACTCAGCTGCTCACCAGCAGTCGAAGCCAGGTGCTATTTTACAGTGGGGTCAGTGCAGATGTTCCTTTTTATTGAAATACACAATACAACTGTGTACTATGTGTGTGTTTGTTGCATAAATCAGCTGCTCTTTTTTCAGGCTCAGGAAAATCTGCAATACGTTGCCCTGAATCTTAAAAAGGTAAAAATAAATATCAAAATTACACAGAAGATGTGAATTGTCATAGATGGTTTTCCAGTGGATATTGTTGAGAGATATTTTACAGTTTCATCTTGTCACTTCTGCAGTTCGGTGACGCAGCTACTGGTGGAAGTGGTGCTTCTGTATTACCACAGTCTTCTCCTGATCTTTCTCAAACTGTCAACGTGGCTGCCAGGTTTCTGAGTAGGTCTGCGTTTCACCGGAGGAAGCCTCAGGTCCTCACTGGCACTGCAGCAGGGAGCCTTGTGGTCTGGGACGTGACGGAAGACTCGGCTGCAAACAAGAATCTTTCTTCTCGAAACAGAGTCAAGGCCATTCGGCTTCAGAAAGATCCGATCACTGTTCTCGTCGCTACCGACAGGTAACCAGAGACAGAAATACTTAATGATGCTACCTTTTGCTTATTGCTTGTATTTACTTGGTCTCTTTGCATGTCATATCACAGCTATATTGTAACCGGTGACACTCAAGGCGATATCAAGTTTTATGATGATGAAATCAGGCTTCTCAAATGGTACGACAACCTCAACCTGGATGCTATTGAGTCCATTTCCTTTTCCAAAGAGTGCACAGAGGGGTATATAAAGGACTACCGTGTGGAGGCCAGACCCTTCATATTCAGGTATCAGAAACAAATATATTGTGTTTTCATTCATTCTCAACTGTCTTGTGGATTTTAGCCAAGCTGACTGTTTTTTTTTCTGCAGGAACTTTGTTGTGTCCACAGTCGGGTCCACAGTAGTACATGTGAATGGACAGACAAGCATCACACAGATTCTGCTGAGTGAGGACTGTGACCCTGTACACGCAGTAGCCTGTCACCCCAAACAGCCAGTTGTTGCCATGGGTACCCACATGGGCATTTTAAAAGTATGGGATTACAACGACAAAGCGATCATCTGCAGAAGGGTCTTTGAGACAGAGATGCAGATTCAGTGTGTTACTTTTGATCCTCAAGGTGAGCCATTAAGCTTAATGAATTTATTTGCAACTAGAATGTAGAGTGCATACCTCTACAGGGGCCAAAAACCCAGTCTTGAATCCACTTTTAAATTCACTGGATCACAAAATCTCACATACTCATAAATATCAGTCCCCTAAATATGCCTGATTTATCATGAAGCTCCACAAATTATTCTATGAAAAATCTATGAAAATGTAAAAAATAGCCGTCTCGCAATGTTAAAGAAAACAAATCCTGAATGTGCCCCCTGATCTGTACCACATCCTTCCACCAAGTATCATGGTATCACTTCCAGTAGTTTTTGTGTAACGCTGCTAACAAACAATACAACCTCCTTAGCAGAGGTAACAAACTCATGTTGTTGGTGATAACCCGTGTTTCCCTGCTGCTGCTTGAATTTGCAAATGTTTTCATTACATTCTTCAAAAATACAATGTGTCCCTTTTTTGTCTCTGAACAGGATCCTACCTGGCTGTTGGCTTTGGCAGCGGTGCTGTTCACATACTGAATCCCAGCACTTTGCAAAGTGATCATGAGGAATGTTTTCATTTCACTAAAGAAGGCATCCTTCACATCACTTTCTCCTCAGACTCAAAGTATCTTGCTACTGCAGTGAGTCCTTTTCATTCTCAAGTGGAATATATCTGAATGTAGTTCATGGCAGCAGTGGTTATGAACTGAAATGTATGATTTTAATTTTGGCTATTGTATAGAAAATACATTTGAAATTATTATTATTGATAGCAAATGTGTAACATGTTTTATGTTCTTGTTCACTGTTAGGATGCTGGAAATGCAGTGACAGTGTTCCGCCTGCAGGCTAAAGAAGGGTCTTCACCTTGTTGGATGTATCTGGGCAGATACTGCTCCCACTACAAGCCCATCAAAGACCTTCTTTTTGGGGTTCACCTGGACAGCACCCAACCCAGACTGCTATCTCTGGGAATGGACCGTCGTCTGGTGAGTTTGCTTTGACTCTGGACTAGCTTTGTGTTTTTGGTAATACTGTTTTCTAATCTCTGTGCTTCTGTGGAACTGAATAATAGGTTGAGTACGACTTGGAGAAATCTGAAGTGAACCAGCTCCTCCTTTTAAGTTCTGAGCGCATTGAGCAAAGTGCCGTTCCAACGTGCATGACTTGGTATCCTCCGCTGACTGCAGAGCAGTTTCTTCTCATTGCCTCAGACCAGTACAAGATGAAGCTTTTCAACAGCACGACCAAGATGTGCAGGTCTGTCAAATGTACTGTAACGATAAGATTTTCCTCATCTGACTGTTGTCACTGCCATTTAATGGAAAATGTTGTGTTCTACAAAAACAGACAGACTCTCCTTGGTCCAACATACGGCTTACCCATTAAGAAAGCAGCGGTTCTTCCCAAGCTGAAAGAATCTGAGACTAACTCATATTACCTGGCTTACATCACAGAGGACATGGTCAGTCAATAATTTGTCTATCTCCTTATTGTTTTTGTGGTAATTATCAATTAACCAGTTATTTAAAAATCACAAAATGGGTCTCAGTCTCAAATAAGACAAGAATTCTCCTTAATAATAAACCACAATTGTTTGGCTTTTATTGTGTCTTATTAACACAGAAAAGTAATTGCTTTTGTAATACTAATTATTTTGATAATGTTTTGGAGACACTTTGGACCTTTGTCCAAACTTTGGATAATGTCACTAAGTGTGATATCTGTTCTCTATAGGTGGGTCTCCAGATTTTGCCTGTTGATGGAAACCCCTACAAGTCCAATGCTCTGATCTGCCACCCGACAGGGGTGTCTGCTTTTGCCTGCTCCTACGACGGCCGATTTGTCTTCACTGCAGGCCGATCTGACTGCACTGTCCTGTCATGGGAGATAAGCTTAAAGTAAGCTTTAAGAGATACTGTGCCAACCACGGTAACCAGAGGAAATGCATGAGCAGTGTAAACACGTTTTGTTAAAAATGGGACCTCTCTCTCTTGTGATGCAGTGCTTTGAAAGCAGCAGCCTCATTGGGTGGAAAGGACATGCTACCTTTTTATACCCTTTTAGAAGGAGGGAGAGAAGGAAAGTTCTACAGGGTGAGTCAAACATTTCCTTGTTCTCTACACCGATGAGTGATATGTTAACAGATTATTCCATTAACCTGAAATGAGAGGCATGTGTCCTATTCCCTTATATATATTGCCTTCAAGTAATGAATTATATTGTTTCACATGTTGATTTACTTAGGTTTAAAAATGCTGATTCTTATTTTCAGAGAAATGTTTGCCCTGTGGTTTTGCTTGTATTGACTTGTACAGATCAGTAACCAGTGCTGGTGGAGAACATTTTTTCTACACAGTGACAAAGTGATCTGTCACTGTGCCTGTGTATAATACTTCCTGTATAAATCTTTCAATATTATTTAAAATCAGTTTGTTTTGATGGTGAAATGATAAATTCAACTTTTTAGTGTGCAATGTTTTTTTTAAAATTTTGATGGATGGGTGGCTGGATGGATGGATGGATGGATTGGTGGAAATATTATGTTATTAATTGTCACGGAAGTGTAAAACTATGTAGATGACTGAAAAGGTGATTTAACTTCTCCTGGAGTTATGAGTGTATAACAGTCATACTATCTTAACCACAGATCCTAAGTTTTCTTAGTTTTTCCATTTGTAGGATATTGAGGACTTTTTCTATCTTTGCCAAGTCCGTCATCAAGGCACTTACACAATGGAGAAACGTCAAGTGTCGACCACAATCCCCCTGTCTGAGGTCCCTTCTCTGATGAGAGCATTGGCCTATTTCCCTACGGAGCAAGAGGTAGAGTCAATGTAAATTAATCTGACAACAAAAACATCACATTAATGCAGTTTTACACCTCAGACCTGATGATCGCTGTTTTATTTCCCCTCAGATAGAAGACATGCTAAATGAGGTCAAGTTCAGCAAGTATGCAGAAACAGGAAAATATGTGACCAACATTGACCAAGAGGAGTTTATCAAACTGTATGTCAACCATCGACCGGCCTTCGGCATCTCTATCGATGAGCTCACCAAAGATTTCCATGTCCTTGGTAATCATAACAGTGCAGGACGGCCTGTCCTGCACAGACAAAAGCTGCTAGAATTACTGCAGGCTCGAGGTACGCTGCAAGTTCCTCCCTCTGAACAGGGTTTGTTTTTCTGTTTTCAGCCTTGCCACTGACACAAGACTGAGAAAAGAATCCATCCTCTGTTACTGTTTCTGTGTACAAAGTGTATGTTTCTTTGTCAAGTCCCTCACAGTCATAACTTTGATACTGTCTTTGATAGGAGAACACATGACAGAGGATGAGGTGGCAGAGTGTTTCACTACACTTTTAGGTCTCAATGAAGAGGAAGAAGAAGAAGGAGGAGTTGAGGATTCTGAGAATGAGATTCATCAATCTGATGGTATGTAAAAAGACAAAACTCCCCCACAACCCTAAAGTTAATAATACACATAACAGCTGAAAAACATCACCTCTTTAATGGTTTCTATGTGTGTCTGTGTGTGCAGGTGGCAATTCAGAGTATTCTTTGGAGTGTGCAATTCCAGATGAGATATCATTGGAGACATTTACAGGTCACATCCTGGGCTTCCCAACCCCAGCAGAGCAGAGTGACAGATCCTCCTCTCCACAGTGATGAAAGCAACAAACGACCTGCTCGTTCAGAATAAGTGGTGTTGATGACAAGCATCAGACCGTTCCTTTCCATTACATGCCCTAATACAAACTCTGGCTTTTTTATGTATTTGATTTTGAATAATATATAAATATTAAGTTAGATGTTTTTTATTAGAAAAGATTAAAAATGAACATTTGACAAGAAAGAATGTGAAGCCTTACTGAGTTCTTTTGTTGTATTGCTTAAACTAAGGATTGAAACACTTTTCCCACCATTGGTTATTACAATTTAATTTCTTCTACAAAAAAAATAAACACAATCTTTACATTGTTTAGCACAGTCACTAAAACATTTAGTGACTGTATACATATATATATATATATAATTGTACTTACAGACATACAGTTTGATAATATGTATCTATACACATACATATATATGCAAATAATAGTTTATTTGTTTTTACTATACATTGTTATGTGTTTACATAAAATCTACATTTTGTCCTATTCTTTAAACTGCTACCATTTCTCCCAAATACATTTGCAAATTTAAGACTAATCTGCAGTGGTCTCTTATATTTCAGGGGATTTACTGCACATTGAGTACTTGTTAATTAAAGATCATTTTGTACTTGAAGCATGTGAATGCAGGGCACCTGTAATGGAGTACTACTGGAGTGGTAGAGGATGTGAATACTTCATCGGGCACACTTTGTAAGCTTCAGTCACTGATCTGGTCCGTGACGACATGTCGATGTTTGGAGTTTTTTGGTGGGTGGGGCTCTGACTCTGACCAATCAGAGACGCCCCAGCACAGGAACTTCCTGCTCCGGACGGACAGGAACAGTCAGCTGGTTCCTGAGACTCTCCGGATCACAACAAGTGATCTGGTGCACTAATGTCTAACAGAGGCGTTTAAACATGAGGAGACCGGGCCGGGACTCCACGACACGGCAGCCAGTTGACGGACTTTAATGAAGAGTCCGCCGCGTCGTCACCACAACTCATGAACGGGACAGTTTGATTGTCCTAGCTCGCTGGCTAACGTTAGCTTTTTTTGTCTGGAGAGTTGCCGACATGGCCACTGTGTCTCTGCTGCAGAAATACCGTCGCCCCTCTGTGAAGCAGGGGCAGGACGACGACTCGGACCTGGAGGAGACTCACCTGGTGCTGCGGAGGACGGACGGACTGGAGACTCAGATCATCCACAGCGGACACTTCATGGTGTCGTCGCCTCACAGCGAACACCCGCCGAAGAAAGGCTACGACTTCGACACGGTCAACAAACAAACCTGTCAGACGTATCACTTCGGGAAGGCGAGCACGTCGCACTTCTCCATAGACGCTTCTCTCACCAAGCTGTTCGAGTGCATGACCCTGGCCTACAGGTGACTCACTACACACATGAACACTGTCCCCCTCTCATCTGTCTCCAGACATGGGACATGTGTGACTGTCACGAGTCTTCTCTGTCCGTGACTTCCTGCCTGGTTATAATTCTGCAGTGCTGAGTACTCAGACCAATAAAATATAAATACCACCACACTGTGGAGAAAATACCGCCATCAGCAGTAAAACATCTGCATTCAAAATCTCATTGAAGTAGAGGGAAATTATTTTTATTATGTCAATGAGGTACAGCAACATATTGTTAAATTTCATTTCGGATAGTTTTACCTCTGTGAGAATTTAAAAATTGAAAATCTCTAATACAATTCTGATTTAAGGTGAGTATATAGGGCTGGGCAAAATAATTATATCAATTATTGCAGTATAATTTTAAATAAATGTACTCTTATAAAGTTTTCCTCTGAAATGTAGTGGATCAAAAGTTTAAAGTAGCATAGAATGGAAGTATTACATTTGTCAGTACACACTTGACTAAGTCATTTAGTGTGGGACATGGCCTGGTGACCTCAGCTCACACATGGACTTTACGTACAGATAATTGTACTAACTTAGATTGGAATGATTTAAACAAGTAACTGGGATCAATGTATAATCTTTCTGCTGCATTGACAAACAATACGCTGCCAAGAGAAATTCCATGTGCCTTGCAGAAGCTGTCATGGGCTGTGTGTGATCTTATCAGAGAGATCCAACACCATTCTTTCTTTCAGTAGTTTTGTTAGAAATAGTTTTGTTTCATGACGCTGCTCGGTTATCGCCGACTGGGACAACTCCAGACTTGTTAAGTGCTATTAAAATAGCCATCATTTTAAAATACCATCATCATGAAACAGAGGTTACACAATCTTGTTGAGCAACTGATCCATAATTGAATTTTGAAGTGTGTGAGAGAGGTTAGTCATTGGAAATCCCAAACACATTTAGTCTATAATTCTGTTGAACACAGAGAAGGATCAGTTCATTGAAACACTGCACAGCAAATGTTAAGAATTTGAATTTGATATAAATGATCCCTAAGATGTCGTTATCAAACCATTATGGCAAATAAATATAATTAAGGCTTAGATATTTTAAAGTTTAATCACAAACTTTATTTCAAATAAACACAGATATGAAGAGGTAGGTTGGAACAGATATATGAGGCACATATTACCTATGGTTCTGTTTACAGCTGTAGCGTTGCTGAAGTGTTGATGCAGAGCCAGTTGGTCAGAGGATTCCCTCTGACTTAGCAAATGGCACCAACTTGGACTGGTTTTTAAAACTATTAATAGACCAGGAAAGCACCACTACTGTTACTGCTGTTGTCAATTATCGTAAAGAGGTGGATAGTATTTTCAAACACCAGCGAGACTGTCCTTACAAGAACATCGGTGCATCTGCAAAGTTTTCCTTTACAACACTGACTCTTCTCTTCTCACCTGCCTACTTATTAGAACAGGTTTATTTTCTCACACTGCACTCTTGCAGAAATAAGCACAAGACAGGAAGGGCAGACTGTGAGAAAGACAGAACAGGAAGGACAGACTGTGACCGAACAGGAAGGATGGAAAGAGAGAAGCCATGAGCCTTTGGATGTGAAAAACATGGACTTTATTCATGTCATGTGACATTTTTGACATTTTCAGAGTTGGTACTTCTTATTGTTGTAGGGCAGCAGCAATAATACAAACTTAGCTGTTTATGATTGCCTGTTGACCCTCCTGTTAAAACAGAACAGTTTATTTGCTGTCATTGAACTGACTGTCCAGGAATGTCACTGCTGATATCATAAATTGCACATCCTTTGGTAATTCGAGTGCACGCTCATGACTTCCTTCAAAGTCCTGTTGTTCACATTTTAGTTGCAGCATCAGTATTAATGTCAAAATCATGTCTGTAAGGTGACATCAAGTAAGATTCAGACTCTTCTTTCTGCAGGTGATAAGCCACTAAATTGAGCAGAATGATATGATAGAACCAACCGTATTTATTTATGTCTGTATCCTGTACAAGCGATGCTATCAACAAAGGGTCTTTTCCCCATATAATTCAAAGGAGAGAACTGTTATCTTTGTGGGGTTTTGATTTTTGACTTGTTGAAACACTGCTGATATGTTTCTTCAGGTTAAACTATCACCTATTTTACACAGAATGTGTCATTTTCATTGTTATTTTTTTTGCCTTTTCAGTGGTAAGTTGGTTTCTCCCAAGTGGAAGAACTTCAAAGGTCTAAAGCTGCTGTGGAGAGACAAGATCCGCCTCAACAACGCCATATGGAGAGCCTGGTATATGCAGTGTAAGTTCCATACTGTATCTTTCATTAATCGTGCACATGTTATAGAGTGTATTGATTAGTATTTGGATTAAAGTGACTTGAATTTAGCTCTCGACTTAGCATCAAACTGCAGCATCCATGAAGACATCAGGAACAGAACCCAAGTATCGGTTGGCTGAAGGGTAGAGGGTCATGAATTTGATTTAGTTTTTTATAATCATGGGTCTACATTTCATCAAATATTACGACAGATGCCACGAAGTGTTATATGTCCTCTCAGGTCACAGTAGAGTGTGGCACAGGCCGACATTATCTGTCTGAACCCGACCGAGCCCGAGCTTAAGTCAGCCAAGCCCAACCTGAACCTGACAGGCATTCTGTTTTGTGTGTTCGAACCCAACCAGAGCCCAATGTTTTTCCTGATTACAGGAACGTGCAGCAAAAACAAAAATCCAGTAGATAGCCCCCCACCCATTAATCATTTCTGAAATGAAAAAGTATCCACACAGTGTTTCAAACTCGCTGTAGTAGTAATGGTTTGTTTATGTGCCATGAACAGTTATGTGACTCTCATTCCTGTCATAAAAATAAACACAAACTGGGTCAAGCTTTTCATGACCCGATGAGCTGTTGTTCCGCATGTCGGCCGAGATATTTCTGTTATGTCACCAGGATAAAAATTTAGAAATAGTGCATTTCTCAGCTAAGAATAATTTGGGTTATTTCTTTTCTACTCTAGATGTGGAGAAGAGGGAGAATCCTGTTTGTCACTTTGTGACTCCCCTGGATGGAAGTATGGAACTGGATGTCCATCGTCCTGCAGAGGTAAGAACAGAATACGCAGTAGATAAAAAAGATCCCATATTCCTATTGTGGATGATGTTTAGTCTCTCAAACCTCTGCTTGTACTTTAGCTTTATGTTTCACTTCCTTTCTTTATGCTGTATTTCCGATGGACTTTGCTTTAGTTCCCCTCTCTCTCTTTCTTCTGCAGGCCATTGCCACAGAGAAGTGTTGGAAAAGAAGAATTGAGATTGTGATAAGAGAGTATCACAAGTGGAGGACATACTTCAAGAAAAGGGTATTATTTAGTTATTTTTTAATATTTAGTTTTTTTTGTGAATATGTTCCGTTTATTTAATTTTCTGTTAATTTCGTTCATAGTTACAGAAGCACAAGGATGATGACCTCTCAAGCCTGCTCAAGGTATGCAGAACTGCATCATGTGCAACCCATAAAAGTGCTGCTATAAATGAACACAAGCATTACAATCAGCTTCTGTTCAACCGGATGTTGATACTAATGGAATTAACCCATGCTAACACAGTCACCTTCAGTATTGATGTACTTTTAAATCAAAGTACTTTTGTTCAACTGAGATTTTGAGAATGAAGTTGTACTTGAGAAGAAAGTCATAATATGGAGAGATTTAAGTAAGAAAAATATTTATATTTCGAGAATAGCAAGCAGATGTACCAACAGTCGACTACTATCAAACATTTCCTCCCCACAAAAGAGGCAACTTCCTCCAAGACTGTGTTGTTTCTTTTGAAAAGACAAAGCTTCTTGCCTAATCTTTTCAAACCCTAATACTTATGATAACAAGGTGCTGCTGTGCCAAAAGTTAAAGTATAAAGTTATTTGTGAAATTTATACTAAAGTTTAACTAAACAAGATGCTCCCCGTTCCTCATTTTAATGCAGGCGACAGACGGGCTGATCTTCTGATATCCTGTTACGACTTGTTCTTGTATTTAAATTATTTAATTCTCAAAATCTCCGATTTAATTCCCTGTTAAGTGGCCGTGGTATTCCATTTCACTTTTGACTGCTTACACCTAATGTTCTAATTGTCTAATTACCTTGTGACTTGCTAACAGACACAAATTGTGTGTGTGTTTTTGTGTGTGTGTTATTGCCCGGCTTGTTGGTTGCATCTTGATCACTCAAAGGGGCCAGAGGAGCAGTTATCGCTGTTTGGGGAAGTCTCTCCAGACATGCACCGTGTCTCCTTTTATCAGGATGAAGAGACCCTTGCACGCCGCGTGCCACGTAAGCACTTGGACACACCTGCGCCCATGGAGATGGACACCCTTTTTGACATGGATGTTCTGATGTCTGAGTTTTCAGACACGTTGTTTTCTACATTGGCCTCGCACCAGCCCCTAGCCTGGCCCAATCCAAGGGAGATCGGTAAGAAAACATGAGCTGTCTATATCTGAAATCGCTGAAAGACATCCTTATTATATTTTTAGAAACTTCCTACTCACCCAGTACTTAATTTAATAATTTAATACTCTCTAAACTTGACACTCTGTAACATTTGATTTTCATTTATAACGCTGCTTGGGGCTGGATCTCAGCAACATGTTATGTGTCTGTCAAAACACATATATCTCCCTTCTCTCCCTACCTCTGTGTCTTTAACTTTCACAGCCCATGCAGGGAATGCAGACATGATCCAACCAGGACTGATCCCCTTACAGCCCAACCTGGACTTCATGGACTCATTCGATCCGCTGCAAGGTAGAAGTACAGCACCACCCTTAGCTGCAGCAGTACTGCACACACACTAATGGTGCACACTGTACAGGAATCAAGCGCACTTGTTCTAGTAACTTTGCTGCAGCTTAGTCTAACAAAAACAGTAGTGTGATTTTACTAACCTCTAGCTAACATAGAGACTCTTGTTCCAGACTTATTTCACAGCCTCCGTCCACCCGTCTTCCCCTCTGTTTCCCCCACTGCATCATCTGTTACCCCTCTATCCAGCAGCAGTTCTCAGTCACAGGTAAACACCAACCCGTGGGACAGTCCCTAACACACACCAACATGATGAGTGTTTGTGAAAGGAGTGTGTTATTCTTCTTAGATGTTCAATTGTGTGTTTTGTTGTTGTTATGGTCAATTTAGGAAGATTTCCACCACATCTTCTTCCGTCTTTCTGTCAGAATGTAGTTACAAAAACTAAAATATTACTAAACTTTTGACGGATCAATTTTCACACATGACTTACAGCTCAGTCTGCTTAACATCAAATTTAGATCTCTTTATAATGAAACATGTACACAAAATCTGCCTTAATCATTTTGCTTCTCTGTCATTCTGTTCTCCCAGAAGACATAATTAGTTATTTAATCATTGATTTAGCCATATTGTTCTGAAATTATAATTTCAGAGTTTCTGTTCTTGTCAGTTTAAGCATATGTCCTGGGAACAGTAACTGTATTTGTTTGTCATCCCAAACGCCTATTTTGACAGGATGTAACTGAAGTAACAGTCTTGTTAATGGACACGTCTTACCAAATAAAATGATCAAATAAATCTATTCTTCAGTTCACTGGAACCCAGTACAGGTCCCTTTAGTAATGATTACTCTAGTAATTCTCAGTGGAAGAAAGTAACTAAGTACATTTACTCAAGTGCTGTACATTTGAAGTAGTTTATTTATGCCTCTTAACTCTCATAAATGATCTCAATACCACCAGTCTACCAACTTTTTTCCACCGTAAAACATTTTAAAGCAATATAGGCATATCCTTACAGCTTACAAGAAATAAGATACATGTACATTAATAGTAATCTATTTTGGTTTGGAAATGTATCTTTAGCTACAAAGCAGAGCACATAGTGTGATAACATGACTTAAAAAAACAGACACGTGTCAAAGACATATGAGGTAAAAACAATAAATATGATAAATACAACAAAGAAGCCTTAAGTAGTAAACCTTTGTGTTAGTTGGAATAGTAACTTCTAGTACATACAACTCTATTTGTGGGATGACAGGATCTTGTAGGTTTCGTTTGTTAAACAGTGTGAAGGCTCTTCCTGAACTGTGTGCATAGAAAGACACATCTAAAATATAAAGGCTAGTTCAACCCCAAGATTCGTCCACAATTATGCCAATCTACTCTCTACCCTGCTCATCTCAAAGCGTTTACTAACCGTGTCATTGTACAGCCATAAAAGTCAGTTATTAATTAATACTTGATTGAATAATGAATATACTTTAAAAACTGTGAAGGAAATAAACCATATCAAAGGTTTAGAATGTGTAGAATCTGAGCCCTTTAACTGTCACAATCTCAATCAACACAAGAGAGAACATTTACACCTGACCTGAGCTTACACAGAACTGTCTCTCTTCAGTATTATATTGATGATTGTTTGTCCCCTTTTACTTTTTTGTCCCTTACCAGGCCCAGTTAATGTCCTCCATGCAGCTTGCAACCAACCACATCTCCCCTCCTGGCCCCCTGCCCCTCCCCTCTCCCATGGTTGCTCAAACCAGTCGAACAGGTGGTTGTGGTGATGATGCAACCTACCTTCAAAACTACATGCCCCTGTTTTCTGGGCAGGTGGCACCCAGCGATCAAGCAGTAGTTTCTTCCATCTCTCAGCAATTATCCCATGATCGTCTGGCACAGTGCCTACCAGGTCATGGCATGGCCTCAGAGGAGCCCATGGTCCCCTCACCCTTGGACAACACCTCTGTGCTGGATGAGGCTGGCTCACCCTCTGTGATCACACACACAACCTCCTCTGTTGTCACACCCAGCAACGGAGCCTCCACCATCAGCCACGGCTCAGAGTACGGCTCCATATCCACACAAGCTTCACCTCCTCCTTCCCAGCTCCAGCCATTGGCTCCATTACCTGCCACTCCAGTGCAGCACCCTCAGACTTTTGCCCTGCCTCGCCCCTTTCAGTTATCCAGTGCCAACAAGGTCCGCTCTGTGCAAAGGATTGCTCCCGCCAGCACTCTGCCCCCTCCCCACCTCGTCTTCACAGGTCTGCCTTTTCTGATCTCGAGATCGTGTTGATTCAGTATTTGGAGAACTTGTGTGTTTTAATATTTTGGTTCTGGCTTCAGGGCTGTGTCACTTTAACTTAATTAACCCAACATAGAGCTGAGGTCTTTCTTATATCTTATATCGATTTACAGTGAAGTGACTTATATCTGAGTACCTGTAGATAAAGATGGACAACATGACAGCTCATCAAAAGTGAAGCCAAAGCATCTTGATCACCCCCTGGTGGCCGGCTGCAGCATAGGTCATAAACCCCATGTTAGTGGATGGGACATGGACTAAAAAGTCAGAAAACACGTCAAAAATGTTTTTCTCAAAGATGCTATCTGTCATTTCAGGTAGTTCACACAGTAATCTATGTTGTTGTAAAATGTCATGATTGACAGCTGAGACTGACTCAATCTGTCAAGCTCCATCCCTGATTACTACTGCTTCATCTCAGGATAGTTGGAGAAAGTGGAGACTTGTCTTCCAGCTTTATCTACAGGCTATGCCAAGCACATAATAGAACATCTGCTGGTTTATGTTAAATTGAACTATACTAGTATTTGTAAAAATTGAGAAAATAATCTCTTTAGCAAACAGTGTGGGTGTTACGATCTATAGTTGCCACCCTAGGGGCCTTAATCTCAAAAATGATAGCTCATTTCTGGATGTTCCTGTATGACTGCACACAAAACTAATACTAAAGCCTTGTACTGTCATTGTTCATCCTCAGCCCCTTTCTCAGGTCATGCCAATGCTGTAATTGTCACACCAAGCCCTTTGAAAGCAGATGTGGTCCCTAATACTGGAGTGGTCCTCACTTCTTCTCATCTAGGAGGGGTACGTCTTTCCTCGGCTCCATCAGTTCACTTTATTCTTACACCACAGTTAAAAATGATCACGCAACCAGTAGAGAACCGAGATGGTCAGTTACAAAGTGAAGAAAGGTCATATTTTATTATAGCAGTTTTATTGTCTGTTCTTTTCGTGTATCTCAGGCTCCGGGATTTCACGTTGTGTCTCAGATGCAGAAGTCTCCCCAACCAATTGTCCCCAAACAAAAGTCTTGTTCTTCCAGCTGCAAAAATCAGAAAGCCTCCTCTAGTGTTGGTGAGAGTTCACTCTACCCTGAACGTAAATCATGACTCCGAACCCACCACATCGTAAAAGTGTTTTTGTTTTCTCTTTTCAGTTCACAGTCAGACAGGACCAGGTCAAGGGACATCGTGTGTGTTAGATCAAGTTCCGAGTCCCCAGTCACTCAGCAGCAGCACAGGGCTGGTTAAGAACGAACAAAATCAGGTTTGTGTTTGGTTAGGTTTTTTTATTTTAACAGGTTGCTAATGGTAAGGCTACAGTTTTGTGAGCATGTTATTATTTGTGTGTTGAGTGAACAATTTTGATCCTAAACAAATTTCTGAATGAAAATAAATTACTTTATATGTTAAGGCCTCAATTCTAAATACAAATAATTCACCCTACACCACCCTACCTTACCCTCCCCCTTTATGCCCCATCACACCCTACTCTAACCTGCATTACCCAACCCTACATTACTCTACCCTACAATACATCACCCTTCTCTACCCAACTCCACCCCGACCTATCTAACCGTGCGCCAGACTCCACCCCATCCCAACCTACCATACTCTACTCTAGGTAAGTGTTTGTGTCATATTTCCACTGCTGTTGTGTTACAGAGCCGAAGGACAATACACACATCTGCTGAGCAAAAGAGACGATCAAACATTAACATTGGCTTTAAAACACTCTGCAGCCTGGTTCCCACTCTTAAGTTGCAATCATATGTAAGTCTGTGTGTGCTCTTCATAAAATATCCATAATAAATTCAGCAAATCACTATATTTGGCCATGTTTGTGCACAGTATCTACTTTATGTACTGACTTTCTACCATATGAATTAACTCTTTGTATTTAGATCAGTAATGCAGTCACATTGCAGAAGACAGTGGAACATGTTGGGAAGCTCCAGCAGGAGAGACAGCAGCTGCAGGAGGAGGTCAGGAGACTACGAGAGGAGATAGAGGAGCTTGACACGTCCATAAGGTACATTAAAAAACATCTCACTCTTTTAATGATATACACAACACACAGCTGTTTATGTCTCTTGTCGCTGCTTTATCACAGCCTTTGTCAGGAGCAGCTGCCTGCGACAGGAGTGCCAGTCAAGCGGCATCAACTGAGCCACATGCAGGAAAAGTTCAATGAATATGTGAAGAGCCGCACTCTTCAAAACTGGAAGTTCTGGATCGTATCCTTCTGTGAACAAGCTCTGACACTGCTGCTTCTTAATTATATTGCATTTGTCTCAATCTTTGGTATAATTGAACCTTGACCGTTGCTGATTACAGTTCAGCATCATTATCAAGCCTCTCTTTGAGTCATTCAATGAGATGGTATCAACCACAAGCAGAGCAGAGCTGTATCAGACCACACTGCAATGGCTTGATCGTCACTGTTTGCTTCCGGCTCTCAGACCAAGTAAGTAAAAGAATATTGCAGCTTTTAAACATGCACTGAACTCCAGATAATGTCCAGACAATCTGCGGACAGGCAGTTTGTGAGAACGCAAATGTCTTAGTGAGAGGTTCCGGACTATATCCGACCAACCCCCAGGTAAAAACTCCGGAGAATGTCCGAATAAGCCAACGTGAGAACACGGTTGGAAATCCTCCAGGAGGATTCACTGCAAGCGAGTGGGCATGTTGTTGTTTCAAACATGCAACAGACACAAAACAAACAAGAATACAAATATCTCGGGGGAAAAAGCCGTGCCGCACATGTAGGTTGTGTGACGCTCTTTCTCTGCATGCTGCACCACATCTCGCCTGAACACTCCGGAGATTCCTGTGCTGTTTCATTCTGCAGACATTCTTCAGAGTTAGTCTGACTCTTTATGACTCATCAACATCCAGCACAAACACACACACGTGTAGGCCCAGAGACACACAAAGTCGCTGTTCATAACCAGCTCACCTATTCCATGGCTGCAGTGAAAATGATCATTATGATTAGTTGTGGATCATTTGCAGCACACAAGTGTAAATCAGTTGCTCTGTTGGGTTTTTTTCTTTCTCTTCCACTGTTATCAAGTAACCATGACATGACAGTGTACCTCATTTTTAAATCAGGAAATCACCAACAATCCCACTTTTCGACACAACCGTTGTCCAACTTCTTCTCACTTTCTGGCAATGATGTGATCTGATGACGTAAGGTGACCTCAAAAGATTTCTATCAGTCACAGCCTTAGCAGCTCACTGGAGGCTGCGGATAGTTTCTAGAAACGAAAAAGGGGGAACTATCTCATTTTTAATCAGTGAGTCGTGGAACTGCCGTTGAATGTAAGAAATCACATCTGTCAGTGCCAGTTAACAGCTGAAACACCCAGCTTCAGTACAGTAAAAACTGTTTTTGTTTCTGACCTTGATAATTAAGATAAGTACTTAATTAAGAATTGAAATTAAAGAACGTGTTTTTGTTGGATGTATAAATAGGCCACCGTCTGTGAACATTTGTGCACTCTAATAAATCCTGCTAGGTGACGACAGTGTTGCAGAACGCTTGTAGCGTTGCCCCCAAGTTGCCAAGAAAAAATCTAAATTGATGCAGTTTTAATGCAAGAACATAAAATAAAAAAGTTTGAGATTATAAATTAACAGATAACAGAAGCACAGTTTTTTTTAACTGGTTTTATTTCAAGCTTTCATTCGGGGCCTGTTATTAAATAACTACATTGCTCATGTGTCACATTAGACCTCAACCTCTCACCCACTTGTAGTGTTGAGCTGCGTGAATTAAGTGCATAACTAGTGTGTGGCACTCTGTAAGGATACATATCAAGACAGTTAGCTTGGAACGGCTGTGTTTTACAGGCAGGTAACAAGGATTCAATTGTGATTTGTTGTCTTTCAGTGGTGCTGAATACCCTTCGCCATCTGAGCAAAACAACGTCCATCCTCAGTGATCCGTCCCTGTTGCCTGAAGAAGCCATGCAGGCGGTTACACAAACAGATGTGTAGCTTTCTCTCAGAGGAGGTGAGGCGACCTAAAATCCACCTGAACTGTTTCAACAGCAGTCACCAAAGTGGCTCGTCACTACTCTGCCTTAAAGCCACTCAGGAGCGAGGCCGCCACGTCTTCCGCAGATCCACGACCTCCCTCAAAAATAAACGAAACGATAAAACGTGAGCTAGGTCGCGGCACGTGGGATTTGTTTCTACGTTTGTTCTGTTGTACATTGATTCTTGGGAATGACGCACACAGGGAGTCGTACTTTCAACGTCACGTTCATAACAACTGTGGCTTTTATTATACTGCATTTGAAAGATGGCATCAACAGCTTCTTTCACTTACTTAAGCTGAAGATCTTCTAAATACTTTGACGGAAGATGGTACTTGTGGTGTTGCTTTTTGATTATTTTATTATGTGCAGACAAAGCATTGTACTGAAAAGGGAAATATTGAGTGATTCATTTCGTGCTCTCTCTCAGATCTTTAGAAGGTATGTGGATATGATATGGGATGTGTTCCTATAGTTATTCAACAGCGTGGTTTTTCTTACTGAGTTCACGTTCCGATTTTGTAATGCACTGTTGGTTACAAACTCTTACAACGGGGGCGAGACAATTCCATTTGTCGACGCTGCATCTGTCATACTATTAGATGGAGAATTTGACAGACACGCATTTGACACACAAAAAAATCCAGGTGCGGCGGAGAAAGCCGATAGCAGAGGTTTAAGCAACATGAGTGCGAGGAGAAGAGCTGAAGCTGACGCACATGAAATCTGAGTGCACCCGCACAGTTCGAGCACAAGCAGGAGCAATATAAGCAAGTGTGCAGGTTTTAAGTAAAGGCATAAACATATGTGAAGCTGAAATCAATACGTCCTGCTCTCAAACCGAAGGCCTCGCTGTTTAGTAAAGACAAGGGGAAAAAAAATGAAGTGTGCTTTTTTTCACAATGGGAAGAGATAAACGTGTTTTTTTAGGAACAATTGGTTATATAGTTTTTTCCACAACATTGCCTAAAACATCAACAAGCTGATTTCTCTTTGGCTTCTCTATACCTAATCAATACCGTAGAGATGAGATCATGTACTCAGGTGAAAGTTGTGCTGCCAGTTAACAGTCCTTCATACTTTGCTTGCTCTGCCCATATCGAGTGAGACAAAGCAGTCACTTTGAAAACAAGGCGTTTCTACTGGGCAGGTCACAGCATAATGGAGCAATATTACTTATAGCCCTCATAGGGAGCATACATGACATAGCAGTACTGGCTATAAATAGACCATTGAAATGTTGAGTGTTACCAGATCTTATCTGAACGCACAGTAGCTGTGTTTCGTTTCCTTTGTTGGTCACTCAGGGCTGCGCTGCGCTGGGCGTATTTATTTTCCATTCAGAGATCATCAAATCAGAATCATTCTCGGCATTAAGACACATATTTCTGTCAGGGTACAGATATGACATTTTTTTGTCTATGTAGCTACACTCATTTCTAATGTCTGTGTTTACAGCGGACACAGGATAAAAAAGACCATGTAAAGATTCAGCACACTTAAAAACCAAAAGCCATATCAAAGCATTGTTGCCTTTTGTCGCATTACTGACATCCTGTAGATAAAGCACTTTGCTCTCTTGAGAATCAGATTGAGTCAGCGTATGTGACATTACCAACCTTTAGTAAGGCTTTTCTCAGAGTGCCATTTCCCTGTGATCTCCTCAAGGCAGACGTAGACTTTCTGACTTATCTATTTCTTTTTCCGCAGAACAACTTAGTTTTCATTCGAGCTTCACAGTAGCAGAAGGCGCCGCTTTTATCGGACGAATTTGCAGCTTTTTATTTTTTCCCTCTTTTATTGCGGATACTGGGTGTCTTCTAAGCGGTGGTTTTCCTTCTGATAAACATAAAAGTCATTTACCGGCTGTTGTAGAGGCCGCTCAGTTTACAGTCACACCGAGGAGGCAATCATCACAGTTCAACAGTGCAGCCTGTTTACAGTGTTGTCATTCGAATCATAAGAGGTCATATTCACCACAATTATTTATTACTACTGTAAGAAAACACAATGCACCTCTGAATGCAGCTATGCTTGTCATGTTTGAAGATTAGTTTTCTCACTTTTTTGTGATTGTTTTTCAAACATGTTCCACTGCAGCTTGACATTTGTCTTGTGATTCTTTTTTTTTTAAATTTCAAATCATTCGATTATTTTAAAATCTTTGTCATACCAGGTTGGATTTCTAATGTTTGTTTGCTGTTTCTCTTTTGGTGGTTTTTGTAACATATGATTTACAGAGAGTGTATCACTGCATAAGCAGTACAATTATTTTCTTATCCTGCATATTATGCGTTTTCTTTCCCCCATAGTTCCCAAACAGCTTTTCAAAATGCCTTAAATAATTCTGAGTCACAATAAAAGCAACAAGAAACCACAAGTTTGACTCCTTTATTTCTTAATTTTCAATAAATATCACTTTGTAGTACTGAATGATCAGATAAGTGGATATGAAACTTAAATCATTTTTAAAATAATTGAAATAAGAAGCACATCTAGTAGAAAGATCATTTGATGGGTGCTGAATGAACCAAATGTTAGAGAAAGAGAAAAATCTTGCCATGTGGATGTGACAGTTGTATTTACTTATTTGAAGTAACACAGTAGAATCAAAGGGTTGCTGTGCTCAGTTGATCTAGAAGCTGCAGCAGACACATATTCCTGTATTTATAACATGACTGTCCATGTGCTGTGCTCAGAGTGTTGCGAGACCACACCTCATCCTGAATTTACTGGCTGCCCGTCTGCAGCTCAGGTGACAGACCTGGGGTCAGCCCCGACATCTTAAAATGAAACAGCAAAAAGGAGAGAGTGAGCGGCTGCTGCAGACTTGATGACTATAGTTCCCATCAGTGAGTAACAGCCAGGAGGGGTGGAGAGAAACAAAGTGCTCTGTAGTCTTTTTCTTAGATTTGACACACAAACACATGTGATTCACTTATAAAACAAAGTGTTTTATGGCTAAATCCACCCAGTATATGAAGCAGTTAAAGTTATCCTCAACTTCTTCTCTACAACCTGATCTGTAAGTGACATAACAACACTGACGGCTCATCTGCTTCATCAGTTGGCTATTATTTTGTCACTGATACTGATGTACTTTTTCCATAGTAACACTGAAGACTACTGTATAGGAATATTTCATACCATAGTATTCATCATGTTTTCCTAAGTGAATATTTTGAGTTAGCCACTTGTTCCACTACTGATGCTAATGAAGGCAATGTCCCATTAAATACTCTGACTCTAAGTTTCTCCCTTCAGATTACCAATAAGGAGATCATTTTAATAAAACATATATCAAGCTTTAATTATAGATACACCATCCTTCTGATTGTACATAAACTGAATAACTGTAAACTGCAATTATTCCTCCAAAAGATGCAGAGTACTGTGCACACACACACACACACACACACACACACACACACACACACACACACACACACACACACACTGAGGCACAATCTGCAGTCACCACTTGACGGTTTTGAGAAGAAAATATGTTCGACATTCTTTATTATAAATTAAATAAATAGCATATAATAAATAAAGACATCTTTAAATTACAACCAATAAATAAATGAATACATTATTCGATGTCACAGGAGATGGTCGTGTTTGTGACATGCTCCACCCATCGCCTGGAAAAGTACAGGATGCTGAAGCCCTTCCTTTTCCAAGTGAACATATGTGAAGTTGTTAACTCTCTTTTTTTGCATTTCTTGTGGGTGTCTCTTAAAGCATGTTTGAACTGATGAAGAAATTCTTTGGTGTTGTTGATGATCTGCTCGTGAGAAAGGGTCAGGTTCCTGGTGATGTATGGCAGGTGGTTTTCCAGGTAGTCGCTGATGGCACAGATGGAGGCCTGAATTTCTGTGGTGTTTCCCGAGGGAAGAGTTATTCCCTCAGGGAGCTTCAAACTCTTGTATTCCTCCAATGGATTTTTCTGAAACATTAGTTTGACCTGCAGAGAAGGAGACAGTCAGCATGACAGAGTTAAGATTGCAGAGCATCAGGGCCAGACAAAGCTTTAATGAGGCCCCAAGCTGAATTTAATTGGGGGGCCCCACTGCCTTAGTGCAGCTGATATGACTGATGATTGATAAGCAGTTTTCAGACTTGAACTCTGGAGAATTGTGTCTGGACCTTGTTTGCAATTTGCTGTTCACACATGAACAACACAGAAGAACTCAGACGCATTCACAACAACACAGTAATCTCTGGAGCGCCCAGGTGAGGGGTGGTGCAGCAGGAAGAGGCAGGATGGAATATTTAAATTCCACTGCTGAGATCACATGTGTCAGTTTATTGGCGCCACATACTCACTCGGAGATATTTGTTTTCTCCTTGTTTTTCTTTTTCTTTTTGTGTCTCTCTGTCACATGTTAGAAATGTCATCAACACGTCTCCTGCTCTGTTCTCACATGGGCTCATTTGCCTCTGACCCTGAGATTATCTGGAATCCATTGCATGTCTGAAAGCAACTTTAGTGATTGATCATTCACAATATAATATTGTATTTTATATGATTACAATTTACATTATACTATATTACATATTAAAAAAGCAGTTTATTGAGGTCTCTAGTGGCCACATGGGCGCTTAGCAGGCGTTCAGTTCATTGATGCCAGCAACTTGGTTTGACCTTTATGTTATGTCACAATAACTGATTTTACCACTGAATACAAATCATATGAAATGGAATTCTTCAACATTGTGAAAACAAGATTAGGCTATTAAATGTTCGAGCCATTAACACTGCACTGCAAATTTGATGAACCCAGGTATGATGTGTTTACTTACATATTTGTTTTCGGCGTTCAGAAGATTACAAAAAGATAACTCAATATCCTTCAACTCTTGAAGCTCCCCTTCAAGTGATCGCAAGTCCATGAGGGAGACATGCATAATGACGATGCAGGAAAACAGGAACCCTGCAAGAAAAATGCAAAAAAATATGATGGCGTCATTTGCATCGTGATTTAACATCTTCAACAAATTAGTGGAATAAGCACCAGAGTCAAAAGTCCAGATCACACTGAGACAGAATAATAAGAAAGAGGCAGCTTTCCTTCTAACATGTTCAATCTTTTCCATGAACTCTTATTTGTAATACCTCAAAATTCCTGACATTTTTACAAAAGATATTTAAAGTGACAAGTTTTTCATTTTCTTACAGTCCCCAGAACATAAAACATCAAAATGATTTAACTTTCATGTAAAGCCAGCTTACCTTTAGCAAAAGACATGGTGTGGTTTATGTTAAGTCAGTGCCTCTGTGTTAACGCACTGTCCTTATATATCGAAACACTGGATTTTTTTGTTGCATGCCGCCCGTTGTAAAATGACGTTGTTAGCATTATCGTCCAAAGGAATCATGCTGTAAGCTTTTCTATTTTGCAATTGTAGTCAGGGCCACCACAGAGGTTTGATGTGGGAAAGTGGTACAAACTGCCAGTCTCATCTGATATGATGAGTGATGTGATCACCTATCTGTCAAGCTTCATGTGTCATTTGCCCCAGAATTTTCAACCCACACAACCTGAGGTATCCTGGAAATTCTCATTGTTACAATGCAGTCAAACTTTTAGTGAGCACATGTTCTCTCATATTATTCTTGTATAGTGTTTACATTTTTCTTTATATCTATATATACATGTATGTATATTTTTATTCTTTCTTGTTTTTATTTTTATTCTATTTTAATTTTTAATGCCCTTCTGCTGCTGTAATGTCCAAATTTCCCCAGTGTGGGATGAATGAAGTCTATCTTATCTTATCTTATGTTAATGAGAGGTTGGTTTGTAGGTGTGTTTGATTGTGAACAAGATTACACACAAAAAACTGAACGGATTTCCATGAAACTCTTTATGTGGGGCCTTTGCAGAAGTATGAGCCCTTCTAGTATTTAAAATGACAATACATCAATGCCACAAGGCTCAAGGACAGTTTCTACCCCCAAGCCCCCAAGACTGACTAACAGCTCCAAGCCACTGCCCCAGCTTCCTCCCCCTCCCACCCTCCACACATAACCACCAAGGACTTAATGCAACTTTCTGCACATTGAACAATTTGCACACAGTGAACATTATGCACCTTGTATTTTTGAGCAAACTGTAATAATTCTGCACTGAAACTAAATCACCTCTTCTACCTCAGCTGTTATTTATCTCCTATCCCTTTTTTTAAGGTTTAAACTTAAAGGTACAGTGTGTCGAATTTAGTGACATCTAGTGGTGAAATTACATGTTGCAGCTGAATGCCCCTCACCTCACCCTCCCCTTCCAAACATGAAAAAGAGCCTGTGGTAGCTTCAGTTGTCATAAAGACTCAAAAGGTGGTTAGTTTGTAGAGTTTGAACAACTGTAAAAAACATGGCCGCCTCCATAGAGAGGTCCCCCTGGATGTAAATATAAAGTATTTAAATATAAAGGGTCCATTCTAGGGTAAAGAAAAGAACAATTCATACAATTCAGATGGAACACACCAGTGAAAACATCACAAGGATTAGTTTACATTTAATTTCAGCCAATAAATCCCTTTCACCTAAATCGTACACACTGGACCTTTAAGTTTCCAGTATATATATATATATATATATATATATATATACATTTAAATGTTTCTAGTTTTCTTTGGATGTATCTAGCGTTTTAATTTATATTTTTATTTTAATAACTGAGGGCACCTGGCAGGGACAAGAGAACTAAGAATTTCATTGCATTGATAACTTGTTTATTTCTGCATATGTCATTAAAGCCTTTGAACCTTTGAACCTTGAATATTTATGTGACTTTATTTGGGTCCAAACCTTTAAAGGAGATTTAGTTTAAACCTCAGATTTGTAGAATTTTAATTTGGTATTTGTCACCTTAAATACTTCTACAAATTGTTGATAGACACGCAGATACTTCATGTGTCATACAACCCTGGAGCTGAAATAAGTTTTTCACCTGTGCAGACACTGAGTCTTGACTGGCTGCACTGTTACCAGGCAACCGACAACCATTAGGACACAAACACTGGGGCCAAAGACAACCCGAACCATTCCACATTATACTGCAGATAACGGCATGAGTCCACTCACACTCTCTGCTGTGATAGAGAAGCACATTCGCCACCTGTGTCTCACTGACTTTCCCTGTGGACGTGGCAGCTGGGTGAGTTTCTTCAGGGAACCTGGTTGCAGGTCTAATTATCACTGCAGCATGCGTTTTAGATTAGATATCAATGTACGTGGTGATTGTGTTGTCAGAGGAAGGCGGTGGACAGTGCAGAGGAGACAGAGACAGAGGAGACGGACTCTCTCCTGGATCTGCTGATCTGTCCTCACTCTCCATGGTGGCACGATGCATCATGGAGCCCTCAAGCTCTGACCCTGAGAAAACTGGCCATGCTCTCACCTGAACACCTGCACACCAACTTCATTCACAAGCACTTCACTACACTACGCATCGTGGATGAGAATGTAAGTAACTGTTCGATTTTTTTACAATTAAACCCAAAAGTGGTTTTAGTTCTAACTCAGTCCATTGTCCTGGGCCCATCTGAACAGGCCCCAAGCCCTACTGCAGGATTTGAGTTTCTACTCAGTAACTAATCATTTTAGTACTACAATCTGTTCTATGTGCTCCTAATACTGACAGAAATAAGCACAGATGAATATATATATAATATTACAGAAACCACTATGGAGTTTATTACAATCTCAAATGGCTCCTAAACCCAAACATCTGGCAGAGATGACCCAAAAACATTAGTTAATGCAACTTCTAAAGTACCGAAATGTAAATTTAGTGTGTGTTTGTGGTGCTAAATCATTCCATACATTTACACGGATTAAGGTCAAGAGCGTCAAATATTATCGGGAGATCATATTGTCATCTTGCCTGTGGATCCCCTAGTGGCTGAGGGGCTCTGTGCAACCACCTGATTCCATCCCTCCACTTCAAAACACAGAGGACAAGGGTTATTAATTCTTAACGCTTTGACACAATGAACAAACTCGTGCTGCAGGTGTCGGTCGTCGATGGCGGCCTGTTGAAGTTCTCAAAGCTGGAGGAGCTGGTGCTGAGTGCCAACAGAATCTCAGAAATCCCTGCAGACAACCTCCCCTGCACTTTAAAGGTCAGTATCAATGCTCATGATGACATGAAGTCTCTGCTGCAGAGGTCAATCAATCAATGGTGATTCACGACAATATCATGATCACAGCTGGCTGTGATGTGTCGAGTAGTACCTGTCTGAGATGTAGTTGTGATGTAGTGATAATGAAATGTTTGCTGTGTTCTCTTACAGATTTTGGAGCTACGTGCAAACCGGCTGTCTGCTCTGAACAGTCTCACCAGCCCCCCACCCCCCCACCTACAGTACCTGGGCCTCGGCTCAAGCAGTCTTGGTTCCTGTCAAGACATTGCTAATCTCTCTGGAAAACACTGGTTAGTACGCACACATACAGGAACTGAGGTGGTTTTTTTTAAAGATAAAGCAAAAGTAGGTCAAATGAAACTACCGTTACGCAAGCAGTTAATTAACATTTATTTAATCTGAAAGTCACAATGAGATTAGGATCTGGTTTCCAAGAGAGGCCTGAGAAATTCACATTCACAATAACGAGGGATAAAAAAAAACAACACAATAAAAATAAATGAATAAAAACATCAGGAAATGTAAATGATGAGCGAACTCAGCAGTAAATTCATGCAACTCATTATTTATATCATATTTATTTAGTCAGTAACTCAGTTATAGTCTGTTTATATTTCAAAATATGTACAGGACGATTTCATTTTTAATTGATCATTTGAGGTATAAAGAGCCAAGAATATTAAGGGTACACTGTGTAGAATTTAGTGACATCTAGAGGTGAAGCTGCACGTTGCAGCTGAATACACCTCACCTCACCCTCCCCTGTCCAACATGACGGAGAACCTGTGGTGAACTTCAGTTGTCATGAAAACTCAAAAGGTTTTAGTTTGTCCAGTTTGGACAAAAATCCCTTTCACCTCAATCTAAAACACTGAACCTTTAAGTTTACTGTCACAGGTATGTGCAGAAGCTTGTGAGTTATCAGAAGCACTAATTCATTTAATGTCAACCCACTACTCGTTAATGACACACACACACTGTCTCTGACCTCAGGCCACAGCTGGTGTGTCTGGACCTCAGTGACTGTGAGTTTGAGGACCAGAGGGCCCTGCTGAGCGCTCTGACCACTCTCCCCTGCCTCAAGACGCTGGTGCTGGAGGGAAACCCCTTCACCCTCGCGCCCTCGTACCCGGGCTCCACTGTGGACACTCTCCCACGGCTCTCTTGCCTGGACAACTCATGGATCACCCCTGAGGAAAGACATCGCTTTAAGGGCTTGGCCAAGCTGAGCGGTGAGACTGTGAGCACGGGCTCCTGTTTCTTTTTAGATTTCCAAACAGTTGCGTCCTTTTAACCACAACAAGAGCGTTTTATGTAATTTACAGTTTATGTCATTTTCCTGTGAACAGATGTGATTGTGGACCAGGCCTCAGCCACAGTGAGAGTGGGCGGAGTGATGGGAATCCCAGACCCGCTGATGAATGTGGATGAAAACGCTCCTGACTTCCCTGTTGTCACCTACAGCTATTTTATCACATACGAGTTCCTTACTCAAGAAACACCTGTTAACCTGGTGACTCTCTCTTAGTATTTATCTGTGGCATGATATATATATTTTTTAATTTACGCATGTTTGAAAGTACACTGGGAATGGGAACGTGTGTAAGGCTTTGAGACAAATTAGAACAATTACCACCCTGCAGTTCTATGCCTCCACCAACCAGTGAACTTTCAGTCTGTACATTGCTTTTTTATCCCAGACTCATATGAGTTCTCTTTGACTGAAATCTAATCAGGGAATTTCATTACATCTGGCACAAACATTCACTTGGAATCAAGGATGACCTGTGTCCTAACAAAGCAACGTTTTTTGGCCTCTTGTTCCAGTGAACATTAAAAACACTGTAGAATATGAAAAATGTGGAGTTTAGATTAGGAACGAACTTGTTTAGAAATATTCCACTGAGCATTGATGAAGATGAGAAGTGCGCAGGAATAAACATCTCTACTTTTTGTGTGGTTTATTTACAGAAAGTCGCCAGTGAGTCTAAATGTGACACAGATCATGAGACAGAGGACGGCTCCACTGACGCTGACCCACAATCAGTCAAGAATTGTAAAATAGAGAAGTCGGCACCAGACACTGGAGAATTGAATCCCGAGGGAACCTGCTGTGATATTGCACATGGTAATAACACCTCCCTCATTTGACCTGCACAGCTTTCAGACCCACAAATGGTTCATTGCACAACCACGAACAAAGATAGAGCTGAAGCAGATCAGAGCTTGTCATCAGGAAATGTGGAGAGAAAAGAATGGGACATTTTCAGAATGATGTTTGGGTTCATTTAGTCACATATCCTGTGTAACTGGATATACGTTTTTCTTATCAGTTTCCACAGAATTGACAACTTCACAGTCAGAACATTCGATGTGGAAACTGATGACAACACTGATAATTTATTAGCTTTATTATTTGTCACTTTCAGCTTTATTATTTGTCATTTCCCTTTTTGTTGCATGCAAACATTTGAACCCGTATATTTTGACGTTCTTTCTTTTCTACAGTGTCGAGACACAGCACATCAAAGCAGACCTGGTCAGAGCACATGGACTTCAGTGACACGCAGGTTCACACTGTCAGTGATCTGGGAGGCTTGAAGAAATTCCTCAACCACGGACTTTACCTCAGGGTCGAAGAAGAAAAGGTTCAGAAGCTGTGGGGCAAACATTAAGATTCCAAAAATGTGTAAGGACTCTTATTCTGACATGTGATGCTTTAGGTGCTGTCATGGCCCGCGAGCTCTGAAGACGTCGCAGTGACCAAACCCAGCCAATCAGTCAAAGAGAAGAACGGAGGGAAAGAGAGAGAAGTGAGACCAATGGTTTTTTTCCTACTGGATCACAAATAAAAGATTTATGAGCTGAGTACAGTCCAAGTAAATGTGGTCAACAACATACAGTAAGACCACAGTCATTACATCTATTGATTTGATAGAGTGCCATTGATTTATTTTACTGTTTTACATGTGGTGTGTGTGTGTGTGATAAATTCAGACTGCATCCAAACCGATTGACTCCCTGTCTTTTGTATCTGCATCAGTGTCCAATCAAATCTGGTTCCACCAAAGACAAGTCTAAAGACAAGAAGAAGAAATCAGTACCAGACCTGGTAAACGACGCCCCCGTCAGGAGAAGCCTCGGCTCCGTCCACGTCCCCCTGCAAAGCCTGTTAAAAGGAGATCGTAAGGTCGAAATCCTCTGTGACCTCGGGACCCTGCACGTAGAGTCTGTGGTGGAAGCTGCACCAACGTGCAAAAAGGCAAGTTTACATATGACGTCCAAACACAGAGAGCTGTCTATGAAAGAGAAAAGAAACTATCCTACACATGGTTATCTCGTTGTAGAAACATATAAAATAAAAAAGGAAGTGTTTTAATCGTCATTAAAAATAGTTAAAGAAAGAGAAAAAATATATCATGGATCTGCCCTTTAATCCACACTTACATTTAAAGAGGAGACGTTGCATGTTGCAGCTGAATGCTCCTCATCTCACCCTCCCCTTCCAAACATGACAGAGAATCTGTGAACTTCAGTTGTCATGTAAATATAACGTTTTTCAATATAAAGGGCTCATTCTACGGCAAAGAAAGCAATTGATACAATTTAGATGAAACACACCAGTGAAAACATCACTAGGATTATTTTATATTCAATTCCTGCCAAAAATTCCTGTCACCTGAATCTGACACACTGAACCTTTAACAGGCTTCATCCCTTTCACTGAGTTTGGCAGAAATTGGTTTGGTAAGTTTTTGCGTAATCCTGCAAACGACAACAACAACCAACTGCCAACAGGAGACTTACATTACGCTTGCTGTGTTTTTCACTCATCCGTAGGATCTGGGAAAGAAAATTAAAGAGGAAAAGAAGGATGACAAAGACTCAAAGAGGAGAGGAAGCAGTGGAACAGGACAGAAGAATACAGCATCTTCAAAAGGTTGAGTAAATAATCATCTAGATAAGACTGATTTCAAAACCAAAACAATAAAAGCTGATGTTATTCTTATTAAATAACACAAGGTTTATATCTTATATTAAGAAGAAGGTAAAAATGTGAGACAAATCAAAAATAAAGATTTTCTTGTGTCATTTAACTATTTGTCTAGTCTGCTTCACCTCCTGAATCCGGTTTGATGTTTTGCTGTGTAGGTAAAGGAAAGGCAGGGAGGGAGCAAGAGGTGGATGTCGTCCCCGCAGACAGCTCCGTGTGTGTCCGCCTGCAGCCAGCGACAGTGGAGCTGAGTGTGGAGCTGGAGAAATGGGAGTCTGAGTCTGAAGCTCGCCGACTCCTGCACACAAAGCAAATCCCCAAAAGTGCAGAGACTGGAAGGTTGAGCTAAATTACATAAATCTGTTCATTTTGAGGTGGGCTGCAGTCGTTGTCCTCCTCAGACCATGCTTAAGTCAAAAATATGTGCTTTTAAATGCACTTGACATTTCCAAGTCTTCTTTAGCTCTTCATTGAAAACAAATAAATATGATTTAGCCTAAAACTGAAAAGGTAAAGGAGCATTCACAAAATTTTCTTTCACTTTACATGTGGCACTACTTCACAACAGTCCCCTTCAATTTTACCGAGGTGAACACACCCTAAATATGTCAGATTTCTTTCATGGAGATCCATTAATTATTCTCTGGGAATCTGGTGAAAATGGCAAAAGAAAATGTTAAGCAGTGTTAAAGAAAGTGATAATGTCAAATGTTCTTCAACATCCTTCTACCATGTTTCAATAAAATGGATTCAGCAGTTCTCAACAGACTGACAAGCAGCAATGACAACATAACCTCCTTGGAGAAGATAGTGACAGGTGTTACATTCTTTTGCATCAGTGTTTATGGCATCATGCTTTGTTTGATGTGTTTTCATGTGATTGTTGCTTGAGGAGCTGGACTATTGAACAGGCCACATGAATGAATGGGCAGAGACACAGATCTGTCCCAGGTTTACTACAACACTATGTGTTGTTTGGTTTGTAGCAATAAGAATGTTTTTAGAAAAGTGCAACCTTAACTTAAATCCCCTTAAATTGTACTGTCCTGTTTATTGTACACTCTTTGGATTTTATACCTCATTATCTACCTATACAGTTATTTCAATATTTCCTTGTACTATGAAAATACAGTTTTACATCATTCTGTGCCACTGCACTTTACTCAAGCACATTTCTCTACAAACAATATCTCCTCTTTGTGTGAAAGGTATATTATGTTCTTATTCTCTGCATGTATTGGATTTTTTATTCTATCGTCTACCTCATTTTGACTATCTGCTGCTTTTGAATTTTCCTGCCGTTGGATCCATAAAGTTATATCTTAGCTTTATTAGTCTGTGGGTCCTTGACAATGTAATATTGTGCTCATCGGTGTAAATGTTATAAGATGTTAAATCAAGTAACCACAAACTGATTTACATACAACACTGGGTTTACTAGTTGTACAGAAACCTGCCTTGGTGTCAAATATCATGAAGATGCCAAATATATACGTATTGGGATCACAGTACTTGACAGGACTAACAAGGGTAACAAGTATAAAGCACAGACTGCGCACAGTGCACAATTTAAAGATGTTCGATTTTTAATTTATACATACATTTCATTTATTTTACACAGATATTCAAAACATTTTTTAAAGAAAGTATTTCATCGTTTGATACAGAAATGATCGAATAATTGCAAAAGAAACGCTTTGGAAAAGGCCATTTCACTGGAGCTGAAGGTGTACAGTAAGTGTGAAGAGCTTCTTTCTTACCCATCATCCAACAGTCCCATTCATGACGACCATAAAAAAGTTTGTCTCAGAGTTTGACAGCATTGGTTCCACGTCTCCACTTCAGGCAAGACCGAGCAATAACCCTCCTTTCACAAAATGACACACATACTATCAAACCAGAAAAGAGCACGTAGTATTTCCAGGCATAAAAAAATAAACTATAGCTCGCCCATTTTTGCACAAATTGATACTTTTTAATCAAGTAATTTACAGTTTCAAATAAAGACCTTTAATGATAGTATATTATCTTTGTAACCCCCCCCCCGACAAACTGTGCAAACAATGTTAGGATATTGATAAATTAAATGATCCGCAGACCATCGCTTCTCCCACAATAATATGTCCATCCAAAAGATCCCCTGACTCACACAAACCCAGGATATCCAACCTCTCTCCTCCACACTCACAAACACTGTTTTTTTCGGTATGTCTGAAGTATAAAGAGAGGAGGCCGTTCACCTATAAGAGCGCTTGAGGGCTGGTGTGGACGATAAAGACGCTTTGCAAAAACAAGCACACTGAGATGCACACACGCACAAATTAAAACCCAAAAAGGACTGCCTTATCTAACACCATGTGCAAATAGAGTGATTGTGCGAACGAGGGTTTAAAAGGCTTTAAAAGGTCTGGTCGTCGTTACAGGATTCGGTCGAGTGGCCAAAGACCTCACAGATGTCACAGTAGGGCCGTTCATCGCCCTTACTGCCGTGGTAGGTGGTGTGTGGGGGCGAGTCGGGCATCTGCATTTGTGTGGGACAGTCCTCGGTGTCGTGGAGGTCGAAGCAGTCGCAGATGTCACAGAACAGCCTCGGGGGCAGCTTCTTCTTCATGGGTTCCTGTCCATGGCTGTGAAGAAAAGAACTCATCAATATTTTTCAAACCTGTATCCAGTCAATGCAAGCTTTCAAACCAGCGATAGAATCTTGCGATATTGCAGCTTTTATTTTTTCGGAACAAGATTTCTCCTCTTACATGTACACATCTAATCAGAATGCACGTTGTTGTCAATGTCACATTTTGGAGCAGCAGTAAAAGAAGGACTTCCTCCACTAGCGAGTCTGATATAAAGTGCTAAACTCTAGCCATTGGTCACAGTTATTTTTGTCTTGAGGAGGATATCCTCATACAGGATCATCTGAAACTAAGATCAAGCAACAGGTGACACAACCCCTGTCGAAGAAAAGGAATGAACGACGAACGAAACCACTCTCAAAATAAAAACTGAAGAAATCTTGGTGCCAGCTGATGCAGCAGTTCTTCAAAAATATGTCGTGACGTGGCTGTGGTGCAGTTTAAGCTCCTGAACAAAGCACTGAGACTCACCACGTTCTCCTCCCTTCGTCAATGTCGGGTGACCCCAGACATTTCATCTTTTTTTCTCTTTAACCAAAAACACCAGATCATCATCACTTGATCTTGATTCCATCTTTCTTTCCAAAGGCTTATTTTTTTTTAAGGCACGTCAAAATTCTCTTTTATGAATTACATGCAATTTTTTACTCTTTAATCACGTCATCATTGACGAGCACTTACATGTGAGAAAGTCTTCTGTGAGTGGGACTTACCCGCCGTAGTTATCCAGCTCACTCTGATTATTCCCATTCAGAGCAGCAGCTGCCATTTTCTCCAGCTTGTCCTTGAGCTCCACGTTCTTCCTCTGGAGGTCGATGATGACTGAATTCAGGAACTCAATCTGCAAAGGAGATGTGGAACAGTCATATCAATGTTGCTGCTGCCCCATATTATAATCCATCATATACAGGCAAACTTTTATTTATTTTGAAACTGATACAATGTCTCCCTCTTAAGTTCATTAATTGTGTTATGTGGCAAGGACTAAAGATAATAACCTCATTATATCACCCAAATATATAAAACCAATCTTAACTAAGATGGTGAATTATAATCGGGAGTTGTCAACCAAAGAAAAATCGAAGCTTGAAATGAGTTAGTAGTAGAGTCTGTGATCCTTAACAGATGTGATGTCTGTTAAGCATCTATGATCACTGACATTTTCACTGAGAATTGCATAAAGAAATCAAGCTTGATTTATCTTTGGAAGACAAAACATAAGAGCCACAGTGACAGTGACAGACAAACATGCACAAGTGAAGCTGATGGAAAACATCCACAAACCGCTGCCTGATGGTTGTGTATCATTGCCAACATCAGAGACAGGGCAGAGGAGAGGAGTTGGGATTTAAGAAAGAGAAGAAAAAAAATGAGATTCAAATTAGGACCCACATACTGCACACTCAAGTCATCACTGACACAGATAATACAGTATAACATTTGATTATCAGCAGTCTGGAGGCGAGACATGAATGAAGGTTGTGAGACTGATGGTTGGGAAAGAGCAGAGATGAGCTTCATGTGCTTTTAATGACATCTCAAACCAATTTGGACCCATGTCCCCTCCGTGAAAACATTATACTGTACCGGCTACCTGAGTCAAAAGTGAACTGTAAAATCCAGCCTACTGCTACATCAAAAGCAGGATGTGTTAGTAAAATGTGTAAGCAGCACAGTCATTTCACAAACAGCAGTCAGGAAGACTGTTTCCGTGCGCCTGCCCTCAAATATGATAGAAATGAAAAGGAGACCTGGTTATTGTCAAAGCAGAGAAACAGCTATAGGCAGGGTAGGAAAGCATCTTTACACTGAGCACATTAATTAAATGGAAAACACACACACAGCATATCATGCCCTGTGATTGGTTTCATTATTATTCAGGTCTAGTGCAGCAGTAAACTCACCTGACCGTCCGCAGTCTCCTTATCCTCTTTTAACTGGTCCAAAACAGCATCACCTGGAAAAAACATCGAGAACAAGATTATGTGAAAAGCAGGAGAATTAAATGTTCACCTTTCACAGAACTGACCTTAGTGCAACCAGACAGTGTTTCCTCTCAGCATGTATTTGTAAACCTGCTCCCTCATTTATTTGGATGATCTCCACATTGATTTGACATTCAGTCTGAATATTGTTGGAAAAAAAGATCCTTTATTGTATCGGGGTGGCCCCGTCTGCCCCCCCATTAGAAGGTCAACAAGTGAATCTGCTCCTCTGTTCTTCTCTTATCACTCAAACTGATCTTTATAAATACCTGCTGAATATATATTGTTCTGGATCAGTGGGGTGATGCTATTTCTGCAACAATGAACTGTGTGTGTGTGTGTGTGTGTGTGTGTGTGTGTGTGTGTGTGTGTGTGTGTGTGTGTGTGTGTCTGCTCATCTCTGTCACCACAAACTGACAAGGACACTGACAATCACATTATTTATTTATCAATGGTGTCGGATCGTGTTGTGTGTGGCAGGAGAACTTTTTCCCAAATGTGTTCATGGGAAATGCCTGCCTCATAAATTCTACAAACAAACACAAAGTAATTTTAAAGTACTGTTCATGTCCTTATAACTTCTAGTTAGGGTTCCTGTTTATTATTCATGTGTATAGTGAGCGCAGACCAGCGGGGGAGTGGGGAGGGACTCTGGCTCGAATGTACGTCTGCCCCAATGCTGAAGCAGTGGTGGTGAGAAGTCTGCAGCAATGGTCCCAGAAAGAGATGGAGATCTGAAACCCTAGGGATATTTGCAGTCGGCTTGTGCTAAGCCCTGTTTTTACCTGTCGAGTCGTTGATGTTTTCAGGCCCTGCAGCCAGGTCCTTCTCCAGTCTCTGAACACGCTCCTGTAGATTGGCCTTGTCCCGCTCCAAGGCTTGAATTGTTCCCTGGAGTGTCTTAGCTGAGACACTTTCCCCGCGCAGTGCAGTCAGCTGTGAACACAACAACACATTCACTGTTAGACAATGAATGACGATTACAGTCAAAAGTTATATAAACATATTCAATTTGGTAAGTCATTCAATCTTCCAAGTTGAGATTCATGTGTAAGTGGATGAGTCACTTTCTAACAACTAACTTTGACGTCAGACAGGCTGTAGCATCCTTCATAAGCATACTCAAAATGAAAGGGGGTCACAGTGTTTGTGACCTAGAAGGGACATGGTGTTGATATATGGGAAATGTCTTAACAGGAATCCTTTTCATTTGTTTAGCAACTGTGAAAAGGAAATGACACTTATGACAGCTATATATGGGCTTAAACAGGTATATCCTGTCACTGGCTGTGGGCAAGCAGCTGAAGAAATCATACTAACTGTTTCAGAAATTTCACAGTTTTGGATCAATAAATTACATATATCTAAATATCTATGGAGTTAAAACTTGACCCTCTAAACATTTCAGTAAAACTCTTCCACTTGACAGAAAAGGGTGGACTGATCTCTCCGGGTTGAAAGTGAAAATGGTTTCGGTATCTTGGGGTCTTATTCCCCTCAATGATCACAAGCTCTGGGTATTGACTGAAAGAACAAGATAGGAAATACAGGCTCCTTCCTATCGAAAGGGGACAGTTGAGGTGGTTGGGCATCTAGTCAGGGTACCTCCTGGTTGACCCCAGGGTACAACCAGAACTGGCTGGAGGGATAACATATCCTGACCTGGCAACGCTTCAGATCCCCCATGAAGAGCTGGAAAGTGTGGCTGGAGTGACGGACATATGATGTGACGAAAATGGTTGCATGGATCTTTGATTTGCTTGAATTCATGTGGTGCCTGCTCCACTGTCTTGCCAATAACCTGCCAAACCAACGGACTATAAAAGAGCGCACCATCATGCATTCGATTCTCACCTCGCTCCTCAGGTTTTCCACCTGCTGGTCCTTTTCTGAGATTAAGGCACTGTTTTTATGGATGGACTGTTGGAGGGCGGCCTTCTCCTTGTCCAACTGCTCCTTCAAAGTGCTCTCACTGTCAAATACACAATAACAACTAAATCTCAGAGATACAGAGACACAATAACTCCACGCACATCTGAAATTATGACATTGTGATACAAATGCAACGACACTTGAAAATGAGCATAGACGAGACATTTGTCAGTCAAGTTTTAGGTACAATTGCTAAAATGGTGCGACAGAATTTCCACATATTCACTATTTAATCTGGAACATAAACAAGACAATCAGCACACAATGACAAAAACTTATGTATGTATTTATATCATGCTTTGCCCCAGTATTCCTAACATAATGATGACTGACATCACAGAATATTAAAAGCATAGAGTACCTGAAGGCATTATATGGCAGGCTTTGAAGGAAAAGAACAGCATGACATACCAATCGCATGATTACTAATGCAAGTGTCACACAGATAAAACAGGCTTTAGAAAAACCCTTGAGACATCTGTGAATATGCAGACTTCAGAGAAACTGATAACAGTGAATCATCTCACCTTTGCTTCAGCTCCCCCAACTGCTTTTTGAGTTTTGTGTGCCCATCTTTGAGCTAGATAGAGAAAAAAATAAACATTGTTCACATTCAATCACAGCCGGCCAATGAGCAGCTGAAACACAAGATGATCTGTTGTTTGTAGTTTCGTGTGTGATTAAGTGATGATAAGTGTTATACCTTCGCAAGATCACTCTGGTCTTTGTTATTTGTATCCAGCTCCTGAGTCAGCTTGTTGTTTTCATCCTGCAGAGTCTGCAGGGACTGCGACTTCACAGAAACCGCCTCTTTAAGCTCCTCACTGAAGAAATACAAATATTAGAAACACCTTCTCTCATGTGTCTTGATTTCCTGTAGCTCAATAAATATATCATACTGTTCAAAATTTAATCGGACAGATTTTTGTGTCAACCGCCAATGTTGTGGATACACTCACATTTCCTGGTATAGACTCTTGATCTTCTGACTTTCTGTCTGAAGCTGATCTTTGGAAATCTTCAGATCCTCTTGGTGCTTGGAATTCTCCTTTTTCAGTGTTTCCAGCTGAATAACACAAACATATCAACACGGCATGGCAAAGATTTCCCCTCACTCTATTCATCTCACATGCACAGTATTAACATTTTCTCAACAGAAACCCGTCTCTTACCTGAGTTTCGGTGTCCTTTTTGGAGCTGCGCAGCTCAACCAGCAAAGACGTGGCTTCGTTCTTCTCCTGAATCAAACTGTCCTTCTCTTTTGCCAGCTGTTCGAGAGCCTCAGCAGTCTTGCCAGAGGCCTCTGTAGCCTGCACGGTGCACGAGCAACATGTTTAATAAGAACAACAGGTCCACAGTAAGAGCAGCAAATGAACCTCAACAAATCAGTACAAGGACATTGCTGCTCAATTGATGAAGCTACTCATTATTCATCATTTGATGTCAACCAATGATCTCATTTTAATATCATTTAATAAATTAACTTCATACTTACACATATACATTTGCTCTAAATTACTGATTTAGAATCACTTATCCAAATCACAGTTCATTGTAAATTGTTAGAACAACCAGAAGCAGAAGGTTGACAATAAAGAATAGAAATATTACACTGAAGAAGATTAGTAGAAACTCTACAATACTCTACAACCTGTGGCCTCAGAACGGATCCTAACAACCCAGTAACTTGTGTAAGAGCCAGTTTAAAAACAACATACAGTCTGTGTAGGATTCACTCAAATTTAAATTGGTGGTAGAACAATTTGTTTCCCCTCATATATTTAGAAATTGAATTGTTCCAGTCATATTTTTTAGAGATGTTTCAAGCCCTGCAGTTTTAATTTCTATGAACAAATACTAATGAAATCAGTGACATGTTGAGATCTACCTTTTCAAGTGGATGTATGAACCTCAATTATAAACTGTTATAATTGAGGCATTAGATGATGAGTGTGATCACCTTAGATCTAGATAATCAAGTAGCCAAGAAGAATTTCACCTAATGTTAGATCACGTTATAAGCCCACAGGCAAAGGCTGGGAGCTAGGGGGTAGTAGACAGTGGTTAGTAAATGAAAGATGAAAGTTAGACACGAAAACCAAAAGGAGGGAGAGGGAGATAGACTAGCAGGCGTGCAGTTAGAAGGTGACATAGCCCCAGCCACTCTAAACTATGTGTGTCAGTGATTACTACTGGAGGAGGAATACCTCAAGCTGCTTAGAAATGACATTTTTTAGTTGGGACTGGAGCTGTCTGACTTCCTGGATGGCTTCATCTCTCTCCACCAGCAGGGAATTCTTCTGAGATGTTAACTCCGAGACACTGGAGGAAATTTCTTCTTTTACTGCGGCAGAAGCTGAAACCTCTGCGACGGCATTACTGTACTGCTTTTCCAAAACTTCTTTATCAGTTTGTAGGGCCTTGACATCAACCTCCAATTGTGTCTGGCTAACCTGCAACTTCTCCAACTCTTCGAGCAGCCTTGATTGTTCTGCGAGCCAATTTTCTTTGTTGGCACGGAGAGATGAAACATCCTGCTCTAGTTTACACTGTGCAGCTAAAAGGTCCTCTTTCTCTGTGGTCAAGAGGGTAATCTGTTTGCCCATCTCCTCAAGCTTAGATAATAACTGTTCCTTATCTTCCGTGAAGTGACTGGTTTCTTGCTCTCGCTGCTTTAACTGTAGTTTCAAAGCCTCCATATCCACAATAAAAGACTTGTTTTGCTCATCAGCATTCTCAAGGTTTGAAGAAATCTCTTTATTTTCTTGTTTAACTTTGGACAATGTTTTCTGGAGTTCATCGATTTGTTTGGAAAGACCATCCTTATCGGACATCTCTTTCGTCCGTTCACTGGATTCAGCTTGTAGCCGAGTCTCAAGAAGCTGCTTTGCCTCTGCCATCGACTCAGTTTGAGCTTTTAACTCTTGGATCTCCTGAAGCAGCCCCTGGTTCTCTTTTTGCAAAGACTGCACTTTCTTGTCAGCTTCAGTTTGCAGCGACTGCAGACGATGACCATCTTTCGTCAGGTTATCCAGCTGTTGCACATGTTCTAAATTAGTCTTCTCAAAATCCATTTTTATTTTATTATGTTCTTGAACAAGTTCACTTTTGCCCTTCTCAAGAATGTCAATATCAAAGATTTTTTTCTGGAGTTCATTCTGTAGTTCAGCCTTTTCTCGTTTCAGAGAGGTCAGCTCCGCTTCAACTTCATCTTTTCGCTGTTTGTTTTCCTCTAGCAATGTTGATAAATGAGATTTCTCTTGAATAAGTTCGGCATTAGCTCTGGAGTAACTGTCCAACTGGTCCTTAGCTAAACGAATATCACTAGCCAGCTTATCACGCTCAAGAGAAAGAACACCTTTCTCAGATGTGGCCTTGGTGTGTTTCTCCTCCAGCTCTCCTTTCTCCCCTGCCAAACGCTCATAATCCATTTTCTGCTGCTCTAGTGCTGAATCCAGGCTCATCTTTTCCTTTCGAATTGCATGCAGAGCCATCTCAGTTTCAGAATTCTGAAGGCGAAACACTTGCCTCTCTTGCTCAAAGGATGCAGATGCTTCTTTATATTTTTCATTGGACTGAGACTGTTGTTCTGTTGAAGTTTGAAGCTTTTCCTTTAATTCTTCCATCTCTCTGAGGAGCTCTTCCTTCTCATTACAGACTTTTCTTTGGATTGCAAGCAGGTCTTCTTTCTCCTGCAGAAGGTGGAGTCTCTCAGAATCGGTCACCTGACTGCTTGTCTTGAACTCCTCCAGCATCTGGCTCAGGCTCTTTTTTGAGGCCTTCAGTTCTTCACATTCACGGACAGAACTCTCCAGGTCTTTCTTTGTAACAGCAAGCTTATTCTGGAGCTCTTCCTTCACTGTCTCCAGGCTCTTTTTATCCAACACAGAGGCACTGATTTCCGAGGACATCTCCACCTTCTCTTTTGTCAGTGTTTCTGTGAGTGCCTGCAACTGGGTATTCTTCATTGTAAGATCTTCTTTTTCCAAGTTCAAAGATTTGAGTTTTTCCTGCAGTTCAGCATTCTTAGCATCAAGAGACTTTTTGGCATTTCTAGCAGCATCTCTCTCCAAAATGAGATCGTCCTTCTCACATGTGAGCTTTGACCTGCTTTCATTGGAGTCCTCTTCCAGCCGGCTCCTCTCTTTACAGACGTTTTCATAATCCTCAAGCAGTTGCTTCTTTTTAGCCTGAAGTTGCTCAATGTCCTGCTGATGCTTTTGGAGCAAGTCGTTCTTTCCTGCATTTTGGCTTTGAAGCTCCTCGATTTGGGCTATTTGTTCACCTTTAGTACGCGTCAGGTTCTGGTTTTCAGTCTGCACTTGCTGAAGAAGATCTCTGAGCTTCTCCAACTCTGTGTTCAATGAAACTCGTTCCTCATCCGAGTGCTTGTTGTTGGTGAGTAACTCTTCTTGATGTTTTGAGAGCTCATCTCTGGTTATTAGCAGTTCTTCATTCCGGAGTGAAAGCTCCTGGTGAGTAACCTCAAGGGCAGAGAGCTTAGTCTGCAATCCTGAAAGCTGTGTCTCCAGTTTTCCTCTCTCAGCCTTAACATCCTCACTTTCCTTACACACCTTTTCCAGATCTAGGTTCTGCTTTTCCAGTTTTTTCGACAATTGTTCAACATCATGCTTGCAGGAGTCAAGCTCAGCAGAAAGGCACTGGAGAAGATAAAGATGAATGGGAAAAAAGGTGGGGAATATATGTACAGGGAAAGATGAATATAAAAAATAAACCAAGCAGATATGAACATAAGTGATATGCATTTGGAAAGGTTAAGCTGCAGAAGCATCAAAAACTCAAAGACCACACCACAGCTTAGACCAACATCAATAAGGAAAAAAAGGTGGAACATTTTCACTTCAGCCCGTATTTACTTTCCATATATTAATTAAATGAGTGAATGCCAAATACGACTGGCATGCATACAAAGAGTTTATGATTACTATATTACTTCCAGTATCTTATACAACACTTCTTCAACTACTATGCAGATCCACACTAGGATCGCATCCTGGATTTTTATTTTTTTAATTTTTTTTTTTACAAATGAATGGACACAAACTCTTATCTTAGTTTGTGAAGTGAAAATGTTCTACTTCAGGGTAAATGCAATGCCAGCAGGGGTACGTATTGTTAAAGTGATTGCCACCTGATGTGACAGACAATTTAAATCAATAGCTGAACACAGAAATCTTAACTCAGGCTAAATCAAAAATAATACGCTTTAGTTTTAAAACTCAAACGAGTGTTTTAGCCCCGCATTAGTAATAACCCTGTTCATACTAAAAAAACTGAAAATGCATATCACATGACCATTCATGTACACGCACAACTACACACATGCTTGCCAGTGTGAACAGGAAAGAAGATTGTCTACTCTGCTGTTGGTTACTTAGTTACAGAAAATGAAAAACCACGATGGTGATAAGAAAGACAAGAGTATTATTTTCTTGGACTGACGACAATTGGACAACGTGGACCTGTTAATGACGTCCAAGTGTTGGTAACGTTTTGCCTTCACCTCTGATAGTCGAGCTATGACTGGTATGACCCAGTCAGGAAGTAAGTGCAGGTGTCTGCGTCAACGTCTCTGTTTCTACTTGTCCAGACTACAATGCAATGCAATGACTAGTTTTCAAACTAAACTGGGGCCAGCAGTGTTTTCTAAACTTCAAGGTTTTAGCCACTCTCAAACTCTGAAGTATTTTAAACTAAAATGTAGTCGTATGTAGCCACAGTTTGAACTGAATGGGTATCATACCTAGTGCGTAAATATCTATTTGGCAGCCACAATATAAATAATGTTCTTCCTACTGTGAAGGGTTTATTTGGCTTTGCCAGTAATCAAAAATTGTCTTTAAATACAGGAAACACATGATTTTATAAGGCGTACCCCTGCAAGCATATAGACCATTCTAAACAGAGCTAAGATGAATGTGAAAAAATGTGACTGTCTTAACTGTTTGTGGAAAATGAGCAACAAATAATGTGCTTGATGGTAATTAAAAGTGAAAATGATGTTGAGAATAAACATTAATCACTGATGTTAAATGAAGACAGTAATGGCAACACAGTTATAAATAGTCCCCCATAACTTTGCTGTGAAGCTTTC